CCATTGGATGCAAGCCGGCTGCAGCCTTGCAAGAAGCCGACTCAGTCTCCCAGTCTCCCAGCTCAGCTAGCATCGGCTCGGCACTGGCAAGGCAAGCCATGGTTTGTCGAGGCTCTAGTCGGTATCCCAATCATATAAGAGGACAAGTATCAATTTTTACTTGTTTTATTGAGCATACTTTGAGTGGTTGCAACTTGCATCACTTCGGCCCGGGCTTACACAAACCGAGAAATTACACCCCCAAGGTTACCATCCTTTCTACCTTGTAACACTAGATCACCTCTAAACCCCAAAGAGTCCCAACCCTTCCCGGGTCCCCGAGCAAATTTGTTTGTATCATGATCAACCTATATATTCTCCAAATACGACGTAAATTCGATATGACAAGGAGACGTCGGATTGAAGCATCATCGACATGTCGATATCAATTCATATCTCGCCGATTTTATCGGACAAATCTTCAGATATGGAAGTCAAAATTCGGGACACGTAACCAATTCACGGCCAATGAAGGAAGAGCCTGATCAGATTTTTTGTAGATTTGGAGCAATACGCCTACCCCGTCTATGTAAGCTATTGGGCGAGGTCCTTGCCTATAAATGCTGAGCAAGGGCATTTGTTTTGGGGCTGATTCAAATAGTCCCGGGGATAAGCACCATGCTCAAGGGATGCGGGCAATGAATTCACTTTGGTTCCCGGGACTGCTTTCCGGGCAATGCCCGAACGCCAAGCTGATCAAAAATAGGAGCAAAATTGGCAGATACAACTTCCGAGCTAAGCTACCTAGTACCTACACTGTACAGTGTGTAATACTGTTCTCTCACACTGATCTGAGTCCTGTGCTAAGTTCCAAGTTTTCCCTCCAAATGAGAGCTCTGCAAGGGCCCACCCGCCGCCGCCCTGAGTGTGTCGCGAAAGGGCGATCAGAGAGCTGGACATGTTTTGCGAGTTGCAAAGAAGCGGACATTTGGGAAAGGTTTTTGAGCTGATTGGAAGAAACGGGTATGGTTGTGTGGGGCAGGCTCCGAGGCTCATGTGGTAGGACGAGGACCTACAAACCTTTGGCCAGCATCTTTGATTTGTAACTAACTAGGGCCCGCCGCTGACAGGGAGCCTTTGCATACAAGCTTTTCAATAGGTTTTGCATATTGAGCTTGCCTAGATACTGGCCATTAGTTGGTTGCTCGCTAGCTCTCTTTGACCTCTTCTCTTGATTAGCTTATGCAGAAGTTTGAGACAAGCCGAGACAAGCCAAGGTCCACACTGTCTCAATAGACTTTATCATACGGCAAGGGAGGATTTGGAAGCACGGCAATGGATTTTACTGTCAGTTACCTCCAGGTAAGAATGTAAAGCGTTGGATTGATTTATGCTCATTAGTTCCTAATTCGTCCGCAAGTGCTTCCTGTAATCAGACGGTGTTTCATGCTTGGAAACTTGTGGCCGACAGCTTATCTGATGACAGTAGCATGATGAGAGGCCTTTTACTGGTAAAGGCATCGTTAAGGCCCAAGGGGTTTCCTGTGGTGTCTGGCTCTGCATTACCATACGGGTCACATACATATCCTTCGAATGTGCTCTTTGCATACCCGGATTTGTTGAGCTGGTTAGTCCCAACAACTGGCAGTCGGCAGCAGGAAGCCATAGCAAATTGAGACCTGAGCACTTGTTTTGTTTCTTAGTAGAAGCTGAGACTGGCAGTGCCGCTCCATTCCGATTTTCAGTTCTTTAAGTTCTATGGAACAGAACGTGCATCTGGTGGATGATTCACCTGGTTTTGCTTTTGATATCAAGGCAAGCGGTTTCTCATGTTCTTTTCTTCCCTCACGATCTGGTTAAAACTTTGCAGGAGGCCGCCAGGGATGACACAGCAGATGATCCAAATGCTAGAGGGTTTTATAACCCGGTGAGTTGCTCTGATGGATTTTTGCAAGCCGCAACAGACGTATACTAGCTGCGCTGATGACGGGTGAACCGTTCGGCGTCACAATCTGGATGACGAATTGAGCAGCAGATTCAGAGGCTGCTTCCGCTGCAAAAAACACCTATGAAAGGTTACCTTGATGGGATTGCAGATTAGGGTTTCCTAGTTTTGTTGCTGGTTCCAAGCTCAACTCGGGTTTGAAGAGTGAAATCAAAAAGGCAGCTGGAAAGCTCCTCTTAGATACACCTGGCAGCCTCGGCCCGCTGCTCTGGTATTTGGCAATTCTTTCGAGTGGAGAAGTTGGCAGGAGTTCAAGCAGATACCCCGGGCGAATATCCAGACACTGATCTTGCTGTGGTTTTGCAGAGGGTGAAGGTGTACCGCTTAAATGATGATGGCAAGTGGGTGGACAAGGGCACAGGGCATGTTTCGGTCGAGTATCTAGAGCGCTTGGATGCAGTGGGCCTGGTTGTCATTGATGAAGAGGATCAGAACACCCTCCTGGTGCATAGGATATCGGCGGATGATATCTACCAAAGACAGGAAGGTCAGTACTTTGAGCAGCACCTTAGCTATGATGCGATTTTTGGCGATATTAAATGTAGTGGCTCTGGAACAGTGTGCAGAGCCGAGCCGGTCTCCGGTGATGGCAAACAAATATCGAGAGAAAGCTGCTTTTGCTTGCTCGCACAGATCTCCAAGTTTTCCGCTGTCGCAATAGCATTACGTTGAGATTGTTCTCTTGGTACAGGGGAGTGGATTTGATTTATGCTGTTGACTTTGGATCCGGGTGCCTAGCTAGCATCCTCTTTGAAGATTTTATGCTTCAAAGTCACATCAAGTAAAACTTTCTGTTTCTCAATTTGCAGAAACGATAATTTCCTGGACAGACCCAGAAGTAGCGACAGACTTGGCCCTGAGCTTTCAGGAAACGATGGGGTGCAATTACATCTGGGAGCAAGTCTGCAGCGTGCAGCGCCAGATCCAGTTTCCGACCGTAGGGCTTGCCGAGGGCCCACGGCAGCTCAGCGAAGATCTGGAGCACTCGGGGACATCCCAGGAGGAAGGTGAGCGCACGGAAGATGGTTGCGGAAGTTGTGAATTTCTGCTCGATTCTGGAAGCAGTTACAAGGGTATGCTTGTCCAGCCTCTTCCGGCATGTTTTGGAGGACAGAGCTATGGGTTAACTTGAGCAACTGTTGAATTCGATTGCAGAATTGGCTGCCTGAGTGCAGATTCGTTGAGGCCGTTCGTCCTGCCCAATCATCTTCAAATGGTAAATTCTATCTCCGTTTTCTTCAGAAGACCACTTTCAAGAGCCGATCGTGAACGACTCAGTCGAGTTGCCGCGGCCGGAGCTTAGCAATCTCCCTCAGCTCGCGAAGATTGTGTCGGAGGTCTCCCCCTTCCACCGGGAGCGGGTGGCGTCCTTGATGACGAGGGACCCCACCTACCTGAAGCGGTTACTGGACCTATTCCGCTTCTCGGAGGACCTGGAAAATACGGAGGGGCTGCACCTGATGTACAAGATCGTGAAGGGGATCATTATGCTGAATGACAACAGCATCTTTGAAATAATCTTTCGGGACGACTGCATCATGGACATCGTGGGGGCCCTGGAATGTGAGTGCCGGCGCTTTGGGCTGGGGGGCTGTCAGCAGTTAGTTGGATGTTCTCTTTCTCTAGGAACTGGAAGTGGCTGAATGCAATCTAGGCTCTGCACTTGGCTTCTGGAATGTGTCAGGCACTCTTGCCGTTGTTTTAGTGCAGAGCGACCACATAGATGCATTCATCGGCTTGGCTTGTGCTGAAGCACTTGGGGGTTGTGTTTGTGATACAGACGACCCCGATGCTCCCCAAAAGGCAGAGCATCGCAAGTACCTGAACGAGCAGGTCTCCTTTAAGGAGGCGGTGCCCATCCGCGACCCGAACACGCTCAGCAAGATTCACCAGACGTACCGCATCGGGTACATCAAGGACGTCGTCTTGCCGCGAGTGCTTGACGATCAGACCTTCGGCTCGCTCAACTCGCTCATGCTGTTCAACCATGTAGAGGTTATCAGCAGCCTACAGGTGCGCATTTCGAGCTCGTGTTACTTGTGCCGCGTTACCCTTCCTTGCTATTTCGGGTGCCAACTTGAAAAAAGGCTTACGTCTGATGTCCTCTTGTTGAGCCGCTGTTCTTTTCTCCCCTTTGCACATCGTCTCGTCCAAGAAAGCAAGGATTGTCCATCGATGCTCACCCCTTTTATCAGCATCTAGTCTGGTTCAGCACCAGTCCAAGTACGTGATTCGTGTTGTGGTTCTGCTTCTCCCAACTCGCACCAGGGCACTAATATCTTTTGAAGCTCGGAAGCTTTGTATCTTTCGCAAAAATATCTGCGATTGGGCCAACGAAGCGCTGAGCTGGCTTTGCTGTGTGTGCAGAACGACCGCATGTTCTTGGGGGAGTTGTTTGCTGCATTGCGGGCGCGCCAGGACACTGACAAGAGCTGGCAGGATATAGTCTACTTTTTGCACGAGTTTTGCTCGCTCTCCCGACACCTACAGCCACAACAGGTAAGTGGCTTCTTATGCTTGTCAGATGGTCTCCATGCCTACTCACGATGGCTACATAGTCAATATACAGGTGGCCGAAAGATTCACGACTTGGTGTGTTGCGTGCCCTATGCTTAAGTGGGCGTTCGCACCCGCGATTGCAATTCTTGATCAGGCAGCATAATGCGAACGGGCTACATTCACCCGGTCGAACTGTGCCCTTGTCATGCTTCAGCGTTGCCACTGGCATGATTGTTCAAACTCCTTTTGATGTCCATAGGAGCGACAATGATTCAAGTCGCGGACAGTGGGTCTTTAAAAGCGTCTAAAGTTCTAATACGCAGGATTCTTTGACGCGACATCAACCAATGTTCTTTGTCAAGCGCTGCCACTCTTCTCATCCGGATCAGCTTCGTTCCCCAACCTTCACGTTTCTCTCTCTCCAGCGCAACCATCTCTACCAGTCCCTCATCATGGCGGGCCTCTTCGAGGTCGTGTCCCGCATCCTGGAAAGCTCGGACGAGAAGCTCCGCCTGGCGGGATCCGACATCCTGATGTGCACCCTCACTCACGACCCCGCGTCGCTGCGCAACTTCCTGGCGGGCGCCAAGGGTCGGCCGCTGTTTGCGCAGCTCATGCGCGGCATGCTGACGCCCAGCGAGGGCGGCCTGCAGGCACAGCTCTTGGAGATGATGCGCATGCTCCTCGACTCGGACTCCATGGAAGCGGTGAGCAGGCCCTGCTCCTACTTTGGTCTTTGCTGCTTCTTGTCTTTTGGACGGGGATCCCAAGTGCTGGTATGTACGGGGTTGGTGTTTGGGCACTGCTCTCAGACAAGGAGGCCCAAGCTGGCGTCGACGATTTGCCCTGTCTTGTGTAAGGAGAAGGTAGCCAAGCGTGTGCGTGCAGCGTAGGCCGAGTACAGTCTGGAGGCGCCTTGCTCTCTCGCACTCTGTAATGTCCGCACAGAGCCGTCAAAAGCCGATAGCCAGCCGCGAGGAGCCGCTAGAAAGTCATGGCAACAGCGTAAGTCTCAACTTGTACAAAAACAGCCACCATGCGGCGAGACGTTTCCCCGCTCGTCCCTGACGGCTCTCGCTCTGTGTGCAGACCGAGAAGAGCTCGTTCCTGGACCTGTTCTATGATGATTACATCGAGCAGCTGGTGGCGACGCTGGTGGCGGGGTGCAAGACGGGCAAGGACGCGGAGGACGTGGTGACCAAGCACGTCGTGGGGCGGCCGATGGGGTCCAAGGCGGCCATCCCCGTGAAGCTGCCCGTGGACGAGAGTCTCATCACCGCCGAGACGCTGAACCACATCTGCGAGCTGCTCACCTTCTGCGTGCAGCACCACAGCTTCCGGATCAAGTGAGGCGCCTGCTGTCGGTGAACTCGACATTGTACAGGGGCACGGGAGCTGAAAGTAGCGTGGGTTGCGTGGGGGGGTGGAAGAGCGGAGAGGTGGCAGGAAAAGGCGTCTATTTGTTTGAAGGGAGTCGTCGAATATATGTCGGTGGTCGCTCTGTCGGGGAGCTTGAACGTCGGCTGGAACAAGCTGCGGCTCTACACGATGCTCAGGTCGTGTGTGCAACCTTGCATCCTTCGGGCTTGGACAGCACCAAAATATCCGCACCAAAAAGTATTGCACCAATGAACCTGCACCTAGTTGTCCCTTTTCCTAGTGTCTGCTTCCATCCTTTCATCGTCAAACGATCGAAGAAGTCTCGCCTTGGCTGCTCAAGCAAGAGCTCGCTGTAGCGGCCCCACACTTCGACATGAGACGCCCGGTCAGCTAGTAGCGCTGAGGGCGTGCTATCTCCAACGCTGTTCTCCGTTTCGTTTAACAGGTACTACGTGCTGCGCAACAACGTGGTGGAGAAGGTGCTGCGGCTGACGCGGCGGCGCGAGAAGTACCTGGTGGTGGCCGCCATCCGCTTCCTGCGCACCTGCATCGGGCTCAAGGACGACTTCTACGCGCGCTACCTCGTCAAGAACAACCTGTTCGCGCCCGTCATGGACGCGTTCAAGGCCAACGGCGACAAGTACAACATGCTCAACTCGGCCGTCATCGAGTTGGTGGACTATGTGCGCAAGGTGAGCGGAAGAGTCTAGCACTCGCAACATGAGATTAACGGTGGAGAAGGGCAGCGGGAGATGGAAGAGCAAGAGCGGGTTGCCCTTCTGCTTTGACGCGGGCACGAAGGAAGAGCAGACATTTAAAACAATCACCGCATACACGGCTCACGTCATTGCAGATTTGGACGTTGCCTCAAGATTACGCCACTAGCTGTGCAAACAAAGCGGCATGTCCCGCAGGTAAACTGCAGGAGTCCTTTGCATCAGAGCTTCGCTGACAGGCCTTTGTTGTGCTCTCCCAGGAGAACATGAAGGCGCTGGTATGCCACCTGTGGGAGACCTTCGGCGAGCTCTTATCCGGCGTGAGCTACGTGGACACGTTCCAGAACCTGCAGATCAAGTACAACCAGGTACTGGACGGCCCAGGCTCCCAGGCCGCCCCCGCCGACTTGGCCAACCGGGCGATGCCCCCCATGCCAGGGATGGCGCGCGACGCGGACCATGGCTCTCGGAAGATGCGGGAAAACTCGCCGACGGGGCGGGCCGCTGCGATAGCGGCCGCTCGGGAGATGCAGCTAAGGAGGCGGAGAGACGGAAGCATGGACCAGGTAAGAGCACGCGCTGCAGCTCCGGCGAGAGCTGCAATTTTCGATTGTTGAAGACATACTTTCTGCTTATTTGGTTGGTCTGAGCGCTGCAAAGATTGTCAGCCAACGCTGTGCAAGCTTTGCTCGGGAAGTCGAGGCGTCCCTCTTGCAATCTTACTCTTGAACGTCTGCCGGATACCATGTCCTGTTTCACTTATCCGGACAAGATGTAGTTTCTTCAAGAAAGACCAGCAAGCCAGGGCACTTGAGGATTATAAGCAGGAAAGTCAGGTTAGATTTGATACAAGCAACTTTCTGGCTGCGGAACCTTTTTACTTCACAGAAACATACGTGCAAAAGAAGGTTGCGAAGGATCAAAGCAAGGGCAGGCGAAGGATCAAAGGTGGCGTGCTTGACGAATGCAGGACGAGGAGGCCTACTTCAGCTCCGACGGGGACGACGAGGACGAGGGCGAGCACCACATCAATGCGCGCATCGACCAGCTGCGGGGGGGGCATCCCCCCATCGAAGGGCCCCCCCTACCCCAACCAACTGCGAATGGCGGGGAGGCTACTGCGATGGGTTTGCGCAACCCGTTCGGGTTAGTGGACTACGAAGACGAGGACGAGGAGTCCCCGCCAGGCAGCTCGGGCGGGAATGGGCTGGGCCCGCACGGGCGGCAGGAGAACCACCCGCCGGCGGCCCCGCACTTGTGGCCCGGGGCGCAGCAGAGGACGGGCATCTGGGGGGACGGCTTGGCGCTCAAACGGGGGCCCCTCATGCGAGAGGGCGCGCTCGCGTTTCCCAACGGATCGAACTTCGAGAGGGGGCCGCTGCGGGTTGCGCGGCGGATGTCCCCGGGGCGGGACCACGGGTCGCGGCGGCGCGATATGGACCTGTCGCTGGAGCGGGAGGAGTACGAGGAGAAGATGAAGCGGCGGCGCATGATGGCGGGCAAGGTGAACGGGGACGCGACTGCGGAGGAGGCGCGGCGGGGGCCCAAGGAGCGCGGCTGGAAGAGCACGCGCAGCAAGTGGCGGGAGCACCTGCTGAAGCGGGAGCGGCACGCGCTGGACGGGCTGCGGCCGGAGTTGGCGGCGATGGAAGAGGATGCGTCGCAGGTGCTACAAGCCTTCCAGGAGCGGGTCGAGAGCCCAGGGGGGGAGCCGCAGCAGGTGCAGGAAGGGGGGAGGCGGGGAGCGCCGGGATGGGGGGGGAGCGGCCGGAGGAGGCCATGCGGCCGGGGACGGCTGTGCATGACATTCTGATGGGGGTAGATTTGCCAAGCATTGAGGCGCTGGAGGTGGGCGCTTTGAGAGAGGGGGCGTTTGCAGGACAGGGCGAGACCGAAAACGAAGAAGGCAGGGATGCGAAAGGCGCGAGTGAGTTGGGGTCGACGGGTGGCGAGGGGCCGTCTGGGGAGGCGGTTCAGCAGATGGTAGTTGAGGAGGCAGGCCCCGCCACCGTGGAGAATGCCGGGGAAGGGGGTCCGTTTAGGGACGTGCCGGAAGCGGAAGGGCCAAAAGAAGCTGGACCAGTTCGAGACGACTGGCAGGGGGGCTTGGACTTTCAGGGCGACCTTTCGACTAGCAAAGAGTCGGACAATAAACTGAAGCTAGACAGCGAGCGAGGTTCTCAGCAGGAGTTGTTAGGATTAGGGGGCGACCTTGCGAGGAGCAACCCAACCCCGGAGCCGTATGAAGTAAGATAAGGGGGGCCCTTAGCAACAGCCGTGTCTGTATAGTAGTGTCATTCCGGTAGTGAAGAATCTTTCGCTCAGTTGTCCTGTGTCAGCCATTGGGACATTGGGTGGATCCGAGCTCTGTTTGCTGGAGCAGTTTGGGGCAGGTCAGGATGGTGTCAAAATCGGTTTACTTGCATTTCAAAACGTGAACGCCTTCTTGCATGAGTGCTGGACTGATATGCGCAGTGATCATATGCAAACTTTTGCTGATTGGACATTGCTGGAAAAGTGACGGGGGAGCATGGTGGTACCTTAACCCGCGGCTTCAGAGAGACATCAGATATCAAAGGAATGAAGGCTTGCAAGCGCATGCATCAGTTGATGATCTGAGCAGGTGACCAACCTGTAGGAAATCAACGTCCCATAAGTTCTCAGCCACATACCGTACCCAAACGATTATGTGCATGAGACAACCGGAAATGAGATGGTTATGTTGTTCTCTTTCAAGCGCCGAGGCCATAGCCCCCAAGCATGTGATTGCTTATCTCCATATGGCTGGGTTAAGGTATAGTGCGCATATGGATCAGCTTGTCATATGCATGCATGGATTGCTATAGCAGGCCGGCAAAAGACTCGTGGCTTTCCACACGCTTCCCAGCGACAGACAAATACCTTTAATACGTACCGTATACTCCGGGGCGTTTTGGATTCCCGAGAGATAGTCCTAGGTAGTGCTGGAGCCTGACGTATTGCAAAAGACTGGCCGGGGCGCGGCCGTCTGGTCACAGTCACGGTGCGGCACGACGACGGTCCGAGTCACGTCCGGGTCCCGCGGCGCGAAAGCCCAATGAGCCAGTACGGTGGGCCTGATCGAGTGACCCGGCTGGTAAACCTCGACACGTGACAATGCGGCCTTCAAGTTTGCGGCGCCGCGCCCGGCCGCGCTGTGTACGCGCGCCGGGTAGTACGGTAGTCCTACAGGCTAGCTCTGAGTCTAGACTCTGCGCTAACTTTTCTGGGCATATCCGAGAGGCAAATTCATGCAGCTGAGGTTATTGAAGGCTGAAGCGTTGCATCCTGAGATTGCTCTACGCACATCGGGGCTGGAATGGGGTCTCGTGGTCCATCCCTTCCTGGCGCCCCACGGATGCAAATACCAGAATGGCGGGGCCTTGCGCAGTTCCCAGTGGCCACTCAGCAGGCACTTCACAACCTGCTGGAAAAGTTGAGACAGAAGGTATGGTCACCTTGAGAAAGCTTTCATTGAAGTAATGAATTGCAGCAAATCATGGTAATGGTGCGGCCCTGGCAACCTGGCTGCACCACTGATATGCAGCATTGATGTTGCCACTAAAGCGCTGTCTTGAAAGGCAATGTGGTGTCGCAGAATTGCTGGTCCTCTATGGAGTTTGCAGAGCTCAGATTCTGGAAGGGCCTATCCATCTGGAACTTCTTTCCAAGATTGGCATTTGTCAAATGTAAGGCATAAATGTGCATGCGGCGCAGGGTTAGAGCAGCATTGGTCCATCGATGTGGTGGCTTCAATGCTGATGGCACTTCTTCCTCCATTAGTCACAGAAAACGGGATGAGCAGGCATGCTGCAAACGATCCTTAATGATAAGGGACAAGATCAACCGCCCTGGCAAGAAAGTGCCACAATGATTGATGGTCCATCACCTGTCCAGTTCATCGTTGGGCAATCGAACGCTTCACCACTGTGTAACGTGCTTCGTATTGGCGATGATTGCAGGACAAGGATTCTCTCAACATTCTGGTCCTGGGGAAGGGCGCGGTGGGGAAGAGCTCCACTGTCAATTCGATAGTCGGCGAGCGGGTCGTGACTGTGACGCCGTTTCAGGGGGAGATAGTTCGGCCCGAGGTCGTCTTCCGGCAAAAGGCGGGCTTCACGCTGAGCATCTTTGACACCCCGGCCATCGACGACGGGTCCGTGAACGAGGACCTGCTTAAGGGAATGCGTGGCTTCCTGCTGGAGAAGCCCATCGACGCTCTGCTCTATGTGGACCGCCTCGACACGTACCGTGTGGACGATTTGGACCGAGAGGTGCGGGCCTGATGTGCTCATTTTCGTGCTTCGGGCAGGACTTGTTGCTATCGTAGTCCTCGGAGGTTCTGGAGATGAGGAATAGCCATGGGATTCCTTTGGTTTAAATGAAGTTGGTTGAGCAGAACTGTCTGCATGCAAGGAAAGGCAGCGGCAGCTGTCAGACTACTCGCAAGTTGCTGAAGCGGGTTTGTTGCTCCCCCAGGCGATGGCAGGGATCACCAAAGTGTTTGGAGCGCGGCTGTGGAAGGACGCTGTGCTTGTCCTTACTCACGGGTAAGACCGCTGCTTCCAGCTGCTCGAATGAATTGGCTCGAATGAATCGGGCTTCCATAGTGGGCGGTGAACGCAGATGGTGCACCATGCTTGCTTGTTTCATCAAGTTTCCATCTCTTTGTCTGCGGGCCAACCGAGACTTTTATGCTGGCCGCCCTTACAATCGTTGTCCATCTTGCAGCCAGTGCAATCCCCCTGAAGGCACCACAATCTCTGAGTACGTGGCTAGGCGAACGGCGGTAAGCTGCTATATGTTATTCTTCGTTGCGATGTTGAAGATTGCTCGCTTTTCCTGGTCACATCTTCTGCAACCGGTGCCCGCTGCAAAGTGTTCTTGTTGGGCTGCACCTTTCAGAGAAGCGCCTCTTCTCTAATTGGCTAACCGCTGTCCTCCGACTCCAGAACGTGGTGGCGGCCATCAAGCAGGCGGCAAAGAAGGGCGGGGTAACGCTGGTGAGTCAGTCTCGTGGGTTCTCATTCGGATTGCCGAGTCTGGCCCGTATCTTTTCCTTCCTACATGACATGATTCTGGCCAATCTGAGGAAAGTGCTGAGATATCTCCGATAACCAGGGCACAATGATTCTGCACATCATTAAGAAACGTCCCAAGCCGTTTCTGCAGTCGTGAGCACTTCGTCTTTTGAATGGATCGGTTTTGGGAAGTACGAGATTGGCTGGAGAGGAAAAGGAAAAAGCAACAGGTAGAAAGGACGCCAAGGTTCGGAAAAGAAGACACGCACTACTTCTCACCTGATTTTATGTTTGGAGATACGCGCCGAACCTGGCCCTGGTTGCCATGCACCTGAGCAATCTGCTAGACGCAGGCTCGAACAAGTCCAGTTGCATCCGATCTGCCTACTTGACTGAGCGTGCCTACCCTTTTCTCCAGAACGATGTGCCGGTGGCTATAGTGGAGAACTCGTCGCGGTGCAACACCAACTCCGGCGGAGAAAAGGTCAGCAACCTGGGCTCACACCCACTTGAGACGTCCGAAAGTTCGATCCACTGGTATGCTGATTAGCTGACCTCGGCACTCTCTTGCACTCCTGGCTGTTGTGACTTTCCCTGACCAACCCCTAGGAAACGCTTCGCGACCAAGTGTCAGTGCCTCTTCTTCAAAGGGTTGCGAGTTGTACGGCTTGTCAAGACCTCACATTAGCGGGTCCGGAAGGTTCGGATAGGCTAGAGCCCCCCGGCAACAGGCCCGCTGACATTGTCACCGCTTTGAAACCCGTCATTGTCTTGTGCCTTTCGGCCATCAACCTCCGCGGTTTCGTTTGCAGATTCTGTACGACAACAGCGTGTGGCTGCCCGCGCTGGTGGGCAAGATCGTGGACGTGGCCCTGCGGCCGGACAAGGCCGGGCCGTACATGGTCACCGAGGACATGGTGCTGCCCATCGACGGCAACAGCCGCCTGCGCTGGCTCATCGCGCCCCTCCTCGCCCTCCAGGTGGGTTGCGGACCAACGCACGTCATTGCTGCGACGGTCCGCAGAATGGTCTAGCGAAGCTGTTTCGCAAGGTGCTTTGGAGGTCTGATTGCAGGTCTCGCTGCAGCATTCATCGCCGATTTAGAGCGGTCTGCGCTGGAAACATGCACGCTTTCCGGCTATCGAGAGGATGTGGTGGTCGACCTTTGACACTGCATGCAAGTGTGAGTAGTTCGCTTGTCCGAATCGTTTTTTGGGCTTGGCGGTATGGTCGGGAATTGAAGCTGAGGGCGTGCCGTGCTGGCCTCTGCAGGTGGGGCTCGTCTACAGATTCTTTGCGAAAAGGCTACACCAAGAGCAGACGGGCCTCCGGCCAGAGGATCGTTTCCGGTTGCTCACACACAAAGACGTCGAGAGATGGAAGCAAACATTCAAGCGTGCTGCACTAGAGGCCGACGACGACGATGAGGACGAGGACTGATGCAACGATCAGTCCTCCTCGGATGCAATTTTGGCTCTGCAATGTCGCCCGTTTTGAAGTTGTCGTTACGGATGGGTTTCAGTTCGAGTTGCTCTTGTGCGTGTCCCATGGCAACCTTGATTGGCCCAAAATCGCACGCAGCCCGTGCAGAAAAAGTTAATACGTGCGTCTTAAGATTTAGTCCGTGCGGTTCAATTTGAAGCGAGCTACACATGCGATCTTGAAATCCAATCAAAGCAACTCCAACGTGATTTTTGATCGCTTTTATTTTGGAAGACCAAGCGACTCAATCCTAATAACGATTTATACAATGGTCATAGGGGTCACGTTCGTAACGATCACAACTTAGAACCCATGTTGCGCGTGGATGCATGTAGCGCCATTGCATTCGACCTGGGCCGTCATAGTGCCGGCCAGGTCGACTCAAATCATGCGTCCGATCAGCGCCAGCAGATTGACATGTACACCAGATTCAGATGGCTAACCTTGGTGCATGATGCGGTACCTCGTGAGGTCGGATTGCTTACAGTGACGGCAAGTGCCGCACTGCATGCCATGCATCATCATGGATATCCGGGCCCTGGGGGATCCATGGTCGGTCCCGACCGTCTGATCATTGAAACCGACCGATCGGAAGTCACTGATCTGCATATGGAGCATGATCGACTCAGTTGTACATGCACGTTCAATTGCAATCATTTGCATGATTACATACATGATGCTCGTCCAGAACAGCAGGCGGCGCGCGACAATATCAGACAGGCCAACTAGCTTATATTTCATGCCCGCCAAGTTGAAGCGGCTGTTTGTGCAGCCCGGCCAAGCATGGACTTAGCTCTTAACGATCAGGTTCGCCATGGTATACTTTTCAGCCACCCGCAAGAGGATCGATGCGGTTAAGCATCAATGAAGTTATCTCGGAGCTAGTATTTAATCAAAGTAATGTTGACATAATCACACCATCAATGGCTGAAGTCAGTGGACCCACGTGCACTTGAACTCTACATGTTGCTCAAGCTTGCTTATGTAGGTTACCGGTACGATATACATACAACATGTTCAACTGCAGCAATCGACTAATATCCGGGCGCAACGTCTCTCAATAGCGCACTTCAATGGCTTTCCCGCCAAAACTGAGGTTTGCATACCTGCGAGTGGCGCTCTAAACACTTCGTAAAAGGTAAAGCAATCACCTAGCTCAAACCGGATGCCGCGCCTCAGAGGGCGGCATCTCGAGGCTCGCCCCCGCGGCCGGCTGCCGCTTCCGCGCGCCCTTCTTCTTGCGCACCAGCCCCAGCACGCGCTTCGGCAGCTTGGTCACGCCCGCCACCATGTCGTCGACCGCGCGCGAGAAGCCGACACCCGTGTCCTTCTGCGCGTGCGCCGCCATGGCCTGCCACGCCGCGGGGTCGCGCTTGAACAGCTCCGACTTCTCCACCTCCTGGACGATGTGCACGTCCAGCGGCTTGAGCAGGCGCTGCCCGCAGCGGTAGATGAAGTCGGGCAGCACCGCAACAGTCGGGACCAGCAGGCACAGCAGCCAGAACGCGGGCGCGGGGGCCAGCCGCTGCGGACAAGAAGGCATCGGGTGAGCCACGACGCGGGGAAAGCGGTACCGGAGTTGTTGGTTAGCGCGCTCAAGGCGGTAAAGAAAGGCTTAGGTAGCAGTGAGGCAGAGTTCAGAATGGGGCAGTGGGGCCTACTAGACGGGACGAAGCAAGGAGCCTGAGCCTCAAAACCGCCTTCCAAGCTCGCAGTTCTCTGCTACGTGAGTCTTAGTATGCGGGGCTGCCCTGCCCCTCACACTAACGGCCCCTGACCTTTGACGGAGTTAGGGCGTCTTGAAGGCAGTGAGCTCGAGCGGAGCTCAGGGAGGAAGCCACTGACCGCTTCCGGACAAGAAGCGCAGCAGCTTCTCGGCACCTCTCGACATTTCAAGGAAACGAGGAAGAACACGACTCTCAGCCATCCTGATGGGAGCCAGCCGAAGCAGCGTATGGGTATGCGAAACGCTTTGCTGACAACCGGCGCATCGGCGTGCGGCGCTGACCTCGACGAGCGTCTTGTGCACGTTGGGCGAGATGTTGGTGGGCAGCGCGTTGTAGGCGAGGCAGAAGAGGTACCAGAGCGCCATGCTGCCCCAGATGAACAAATGATGGATCCACGTCCAATACCCGATGGCCACGCACATCTGGAACGTGACAGTCCACAGAATGCTCGTGTACATGGTCGTCCCGATGTCATACATGCCCAACGAGCGGCCGTTGCGCGCAAACGCCTGGTTGGTGCAGCCTTGGATGATCAGGTAGTAGTTGATCAGCGATGCGTAGATGCCGTTCAACTGCACAGGAGAGACGGCGGAACATCAGATAACGGACGCAGGGTATGTATTCTGGGGTGGCAACAGTGGTTAGGCCGTTTGTTGGACGGAAGAGGGAAGACAAGGACTGCTATGTGACGGTGGGATCTGGCAGGCCGCTTCCAAGCCCGGGCCTTTGTGTTTAGGAAGGCGAGATTCACGGCGACAAACACGAAGCGATGAAAGGTGCCGTCAATCCTTGAAAGGTGCCAGAACCGGTATGCGTGCATCAATTAAGCTTGCGCAAGCGCAGGTGTGCAGGACTGGCGCCCAATGCTAAGCACTGCTCGTGGGCCAGAGCCACAAGCTAGCCGGCTGCTGCTGAGTTGCCCATGAAGCCTCGGTGTAGCAGAAGCTGCCACAAGAAGAGGTTTGCTGGAAGCACACCGTGCATCAAGCTGAGTTTATGAGACCTGGAGATTTTCCTCGAGGGCCAACGAGAGGGGAAACGTGGGGCTGACCATCCAGGCGGAGATTTTGGACCAGGAGAAGTACGAGTTGGACTGCCCCTGCAGGTACAGCGCGGGGAAGGCCAGGCTGGTGGCCGCGCCCACGTCCTGGTCCAGCACGCCCACCGCAATCACGGGCAGCGACGTGAAGATCAGATTGTAGAACGTCAGATACCTGGGGGAAAAGAACGAGGAGTAAGCCTTCGGGGACTTTGGTTCAGTCTCTGCGATGCAGCAGCATGAGAGCCCCCAAGCAATGGCAGAGATGCTTCATCAACAAGCTGAAGTTGCAGGCTAATCCCGGAAAACTTCCAAGGCAAGTACAGAAGACAAAACACAGCAATGACGAGACGAAGCTAACGATTTGGGGCATGCCCAAAAGTGAAGCTCAGGTTTCCCCCAAAAGCCAGAAGGAGGCTTGAGGAGCGGAGCGGCGGTGCGCGCTGACCAGTCGTCGTAGATGGGCTGCACGCTGAAGAAGGCGTAGCGCGAGAAGAAGAAGAGCGTGAGGCCGAAGGTGACGTTTTTGTAGAAGAAGTAGCTGATCATCAGCGCAATGCGCCGGTAGCACCACCGCCCGTGCACCAGCAGCAGCCGCTCCAAGAAGCGGAACTGCCCGATCGCAAAGTCGCTCGCCATCACCGCCTGTGCCGAGAAGGAAGACACAGGTCACGCGGAAGGCTTGGGCTTTATTCCACTAGGTCTACATAAGAATGACTCCACAGCCTCTATTCGAAAATCGCAGAGCAGCACATACGTAGACCTTCTTCTGGCCTGACACGTTCAATCTCTTGTCATACATTTAGGCTGCTAGCATCTCAAGGGACCGTGACAATTGATCATGAAGAGCCCGGAAGGAACTCCGACTGCCGGGCCGGACGATTGCCAGCAGCGTTCCCAAACAAACTGGAGCCTTGACCTGGCGAAGCTTGCACCCGACCATTGGCTCTTGGTTTCAGGACCATTTTCAACGCCAACCACGCATTGCTCTTTTGAGTCTCAGCTGACGTGTCAGCGTACTATTCCCCTGATGTGCGGTGTGCTGACCTGCGTGCCCTCGAAGCCGCTGATGCCCACCCCAATGTCCGCTGCGTTGATCATGCCTACGTCGTTGGCGCCATCCCCAATGCCCAAACAGATCTTGCCCAGCGCCTCCTTCACCAAGTACGTCACCTGCACACGCACATGTAGTGCCGTCAAACCTCAGCACCCCCCTCACGCAATTTACACGTCACTCTGAGATATCGATTTCACAAGAGATCGTCGGTCGAGGAAATATCGCGCGCTGATTTGCCCTCTCGGATTCTCCCCTGCTGACAGCTGCTGAAACGTCCAGTGGCTTCGGCCTCCTCTCCCTTTGCAACTTAAAGCCAACGATGGAGCCAGCCCTGCCCCCTGTCTAGTTCGCCCCGACCGCTGACACGACTCCTTGTGTAGCAGACAACGGAAAGGCTTTGAGTTAAGCGCAATTGAGGACTAAACAACGGCAATATACCGTAAGCGGACAATTCTTGCAGGATTTGTGATCTGTCGATGGAGCAAGGGAACTGGAGGAATGTCGCCTCGAAGGCTGACGAAGAGATGGTTTCATTCGGTATCGCACAGAGGGCAGAGAAGAGGTATACATTCTGAGATGGAGAGATCTATCCGGTGTGCTCACCAGCGCCTTTTGCTTGGGCGACACGCGGCACGCGATGACGGCCGCGCACGCCTGCGCCAGCTCCAGGAACTTGTCCTTGTTCTGCGCGTCCAGCGCAAAGGTAAGGCTCTTGCCGTCGATCACCAGCGCAAACACGCCCGGCGCCGCATCCGGGTTTTCGGTCTCCTTCTTGCGCAGCGCCGCAATGCGCGCCAGCCCGGCCTCCAGTTGCTCCACTGTCAGCCGCATCGATACCTGCACCGGGAGGAGCACAAGTGAGTCCTAGATAGCTACCAAGAACGGAATCGTAAGAGCGGTCAGATGGGGAACGCAAACACAGGTTGCCCGGCACCCCCTTCTCGTGCAACGACCCTGCCTGCTCCCAAGGCAATCATTCGCACGCAACAGCAGAAAAGTTTGGCACGGGTCTCTGGCAATTAACAGACAGCGCCCAATATATCCGCTTATTTGGAAGACACGACCTGTGGCAGTGCCGGGACACCAATGTCATCAAAGCGTTGCCATCGCTGCGCCTTCCGCATAGGCAGCCCCTTGCGGCGCTCACTTCAAAGAGCTTGTCCTTGTCGCCCGCCTCGTCCGCGGCCGCGACCTCGGGCCGATCGAGCGTGACGAGGATGCGGTCCATGCCCTGGCGGAGCAGGCTGCACGCGTACCCGATGTTGATCGCCGTCTCCACCTTGTCGCCCGTCAGCACCCAGATCTTCAGCCCCGCCTGCCGCCAAGATCAAGAAGCGCGCCCGTCAGCGCGCAGGAAAGAATGAGAACGGCACAGGCAGGCCCGTACACATTGGCAAGCTCAGCGGCGGCTTCCTTGACGGTTTCCGCAACCCATCCTATCTCAAAGCACGGAGAACGATGGCATTTGTCGACCAAAAGGTCCCGTTGTTGGTTAAATACGGTCAGCTTGACCTGTTTAAAGTGTCCGCTCGTGCGTCACCTTGATGGCAAGAACAGGACAAGCTTGGCGTGTACTGAAGTGGGTGCGCACGTCACCTTGGCGAGCTTGTCGATGGTCTCGGGCACGCCTGCCTGCAGTTTGTCCTCCACGCCGCTGCAGCCCAGCAGCGTCAGGTCGCGCTCAATCTCCTCCGCGGCCTCGTCCACCTTTTGACCACGGTCAGGGCCCACGATTGCCTTGGCAGCGTCGTACGTCTGCACGTAAAGAAGCCGCGGGAAAAGGTCAGGGAAAAAAGCGCCTTTGGGTAGCGTGCTCAGTAAAACACCCAACGCAGGGAGTCCGGACACAGAGGAATCCCGGTGCAGGCTTATTATGTTACCTACGCAGGAAAACGCCTTGGCAGCGTCTTATATCTGCCACAGAGCAGCCAGCGACAGAAGCTCAAGATGAAATTCGTCCACAAGAGGGTTCCCGTACAGTAGCTTGGTGACAGAAACCCCGCGCGGTAAAATGTCGAAACCAGTACACTCTAGTGAAGATTCGCGTGGCCCATATCCAGTTTGAAACGACTACAGAACAAAGATTGTCAGAACGCATCGTCAATTAGTCACAAGCGGGTCACCACCTTTGCCTTTCAGAAACTCTGTTAACATTAACTCTGTTATGTATCGGTTTCCGGAGCAGCTTCTCCAGATTCGCAAACTCATTCCAAGACAGGCATCGCCAGGTCCTCGTGGTGGGCAGCCGTTTGCGAAGGTTGTGTCAAGCTCCACAAGGACCGCCATAGCACGCTTAAAAGCACGGCCACGGCGCCTGCTCACCTTGCTCCAGGCCTTGTACTCGGCGGGGTCCAGGACGCGGAAGCCGAAGCAGAGTGTGCGCAGGCCGGCCTGGCTGTACTGCTCCAGGTGCTCCTTGGTGGCCGCCGCATATTGGCGACCCGAGGAGCCCAAACGCTCGTAGATCACATTGTCGGCACCCTGCGCACGTACGACCAACTGGTCATCCTCCGAGAGCGAAGAAAGCAAAAGATGTGATACGAAAAGTACGAAAGTGGACGACGAAAAGGCAGAGCAACAGTCGGAAGGAAGTAATCGAGTGGACGGACCAAGAATTTCGTGAAAAAGTATTCAGACACTCTTGCAAAGGCAATGGAAGGCGTTGCATGTAAGGAATGCGCAGGCTGTGGCTCCCACCTTGGTGAGCAGCAGGATTTTGCCGGCGGGGTCCTTGACAATGACGCTCATGCGCTTGCGCGTGCTGTCAAACTCGAGCAGGTTCAGAATCTCATACTTGCACTCGACCTCCTTGCCGTCCTCGCTCTCTGAAGGCTCTGAGACAAACACCGCGCTCGACGTGCGCCTGCAGCAAAGCCAGAAAGAATCAATAACCGTGACACAAGTGGCCTACTTCGTAAATTCCCGGCAGAAGAATAACGAGAGCCATCGAGCGCCCTAATAAACATCACGCAGTGTTCCAGCAATATGGCCGCATCAAGCATAGAAACCAAGCAAGCTCGAAGAGCAAGCTCTCTGACAGCCCCATGCTCGTCAAGCACTGCGGAAGATTGACCAAAATCTACAAACTTATCCGAAACACGCGATGCTTGACTGCCAATCAAACGGAACCAGTCATCTAGGAAAGCAACGGTTCCCACGTTAGTCAACCCAGTAAAACGCCCCATTGAATCGACTCCTTGTTGATTTCTTGTTAACAAGTAGCCAGCTACTGCCTGTGTCTGAATTCGTCCACTTCCAACGCCCCCCGCCCGCACCCCCAGCTCACCGGTAGAAGAAGAAGCCGAACGCGGCGGCCGCCTCGACGAGCGCGCCCTCGTCGGGGCTCTCGACTTGGTAGATGATCTTGTCGCGCGTTGGCTCCCCTTCCGGGATGGCCGTGTGGCACACAGCGAGCACACGGAAGAACATGCGCAGCGTGCCGGGGTCCGCCTCTTCCAGCCAGTGCCCCCCCTGCAGCCGCTCGTCCACCAGATTAAACCCCTTGCGCTTCGCGCGCGGGGACCGTACCGGCGACGACACCGTCCCGCTGCTCGGGGACAACGGCCGGGGCGCACCGACAGAGCCGTTTGCGGAGCCCTTTGGGCTGCTGATTGCGCCCGGCAAGTTGCCCCGCCCGTCCGAACCAGCGTCAGTGGGCCCCGCTTCGATTTCTCCAATTGAGAGCGGTGGCGGGGGAGCGCCGTTGGAGGCGGGCGAGGAGGTCGGGGAGAGCTCGCCGGCGCCCCCAGACTCTTCGTCGCCGTGCCAGCGGCCCTCCGCTTTGAGGCGCTTGATGGCCGCTTTTTCTACCTCCGTTTGGCCAGTCTGGGGCGCAAGAAGTGGAAAAGGTCAGGCACACGCTGGGCAGGCTGCGCCAGCCCGGGCAACAATCGTAAAAACAAATGGTCGAAACAGAAAATGCAGGAGCTTACGTCAGCGTGAAGCAAAGCGACGAAGGACCAATAAAAGAATGACGGTTGTAAAGCCTGTATCATATGGTGAGGGCTGGTCGAGCACATCAAATACAGAGCAAAGATGCTGGAGTGGATAAAAGGTGCGCCCTTACCCCGTAGGTGACCCCCGCGATGCTGCACTTGAAGAACTCCATCTGGTTGCACGTCAGGGTGCCCGTCTTGTCCGTCAGGATGGTGTCGATCTGCAAAGCAAAGCGACAGACGAGCTCACAAACGCTGCAAGAACGTGCACTGCACACAAATTGCTCTGGCCACAACACCCAAACCTAGAGTTTTGCATGTAGAGTGAGTGTATTATATTCACTGCTCTGAAAACACTCTTCGATTTGATTGCCCGAGCTACGTTAGCGCACCTGTCCGAGCTCCTCGTTCAAGTTGGACGTGCGGCAGTTGGTGGGCTGGTCCGTCTCGGGATAGTACATAGTGCGGTCCTGCATACGACAGCACGACACAATCATTGTGCGCGATCAATCTTGGTTCCAGGTACGGTTCACTCAGAAAGAGTCTCACTGGACGCCAGACGGGCGCCTCGCTTGGTCATGCGAACACAGCTCAGCAGGTCATAAGAGCTGCACCACTGCACGAGAAGCATGCAGGAAGTTGGTATAAGGATGCAAGCAAATGTTGAGTCTAGGGAGCTTGACACTAGGGAGCTTGACACTTAGACACTCTCTCGCCCTTTCATGCTGGCATGGTGAGTGGTCTGACCTGCGAGATGTTGAAGGCCTGGATGACCTTGACGATCTCGACGGTGACGTAAAGCGAGATGGGGATGAGGTACCCGTACAGGATGAAGGCCGTAACGAACTGCGTGATGCCGCTCACTGCCGCGCGGTCGGGGTCCCAGTACACCTCGTGCTGGAACGGACCCAGGTAGAACGCGCCAGGCATCGCGCGCTTCGTCAGCAGCCCTGCACGCAGCCGCGGGGGAGAGAAGTGAGATTCGAACCGACCTGAACCTAAAAGGAGGACCAGCATTTCCCTCGGTCTGGATTGCCTGAGTTCTGAAAAGTCTTGAACCACCCAAATCGTAAGCTAGCATTTGACGGAAGCTCAAATCGGGTGACCAGGTATTGCGCGCTTCGTCAGCAGCCATGCACGCAGCCGGGTGGGGGAATTGGATAGCAAACAACCTGAAAACCATTAGTTGGCTAGCACTAATGGTTCTGACTTCTCATGTTCTGGGGTGTGAAAATTGCCCAGAGCGTACACTAGTGATTGATGAATCGAAGCTCAGAGGAGCAGTTCAATGACTAGAGGAAAACTGCCGTAGAAAGAATCGCCGCGATATCTTTGATGGAACAGGCCTTGAGAGCGCACGCGACAAGCCTGCAGTAGCGGCTTCAGGCAGCCACAACATTCCTCTTCATAGGGCGGCGGAACTTCACCCATCTCAATCATTGTAACTCGAGTGGGATTCAGCACACCTGAGACTACATTATCATTGGACTTGACCAAGCCAAACACCGAATGGAATTCACAAAGTATAGAAGGAACTTGGAAAATCCAAGTGGACATAGAAGTTATCATTCATTGACCTGATTGTCAAGTAGTACGTCGTATACCTGTCATGATGACAGAATGAGTAGTAAAGTAGCCTCCGCTGTCGAAAAGTAATTGCTGGTTTCCAACGGGTTTCAGGTTAATCAGTGCCCGAATGCACAGCTCACCGTAGACCAGCCCGGTGATGAAGGCCATGACGAAGAGCCACGCAAAGAGCGCGAGAATGATTTTGTCCATCTGGCGCTCCAGGCTGCTGCGCTTGCTGGGCGGGTCCGTCGCGTTCTGCATCACCTTCGTGTCGTGCCCCGCAAAGATGACCGCCCCAACCACCCACTCCGTGTTGCGCAGCTTAGAGTCTCGCAGCAGGATGGATGCGGGCGGGATGGAAGTGGTCTGCTCCTTCCACTCCAAGGTGCCCACAAACGTGTACAGGGACGGGTTTGGGTCCTCGCATTTGATGTGCGCGTCCTTGAAGCTGCAGTAGGGGGAGGACCAGAGCACTTAAGCCAGATCTACGCAAAATTTCACGAAGTTGCCGCTGCAACCCTTCGTTGATTCGACTGAGGCTCACCTAAAGCTGCACAACCGCCCTGCAGTCCAGTGCCTTTGCCAGAACCCCTCCAGCCTGGTCAGCCTACAGACGGCTGCCAACGACTCAATCCGGCTGGCTAAAAGTTTCACTCAGAGGTTGTCTGCAAGCATGACAGACGAAGAAGCCAACCGTTCTACTGACGCTTGGAAAGTCTGCATGATTTGCAAGTCATTATTTTCTGGAAAGGGAGACCGGCCTAAAGGAAAAGTGAGAAGGGCATTCACTTGCGGGAGACCTTTCAACAGGAAAGAGAAATAGAACATGATGATTCCAAAAGCGCCACCTGCCTGCCGTGCTGCGCCTCACCTGGCAAGGTCGCTGTGCACCTGCAGTGTCTGCTCCAGCGCGCGCCGCACCTTCAGGTTCGTCTCCCCGTCCAGGTTCATGGTCTCCACGTAGCAGGACGCCTCCTCTGAGCTGGACGACAGGAACAGCAGGTCCGCGGGGAAGAATGCGTCCTTCTCCACCTTCACCACGTCCCCTACGCGCAGGTCGCGCCACCGCACCGACTCCAGCTGCCCTCCGCCGCTGTGCCGCAACACCTGGCAGACACAGGACGAAATTAAACGCCAGGATAGTGGGGACTGGCGTATACTACATAATCAGCAACCAAGGGCGGCACAGGAATCTGAGAAATGGGGGCCATGACCACATGTGCGAGCAGGGGCTTGCCCAAGGAACAAAGCCCCAAGCTCCATGTCCGCAAGGAAGGCGGCAAGCTACGAGTGGGTGCTGAATACAACTGTTTGCACTGACCGCCTCAGATTGCACTTTACCCTGCTACCTTTACGGGAAAGATCTGGGCCCGCTTTGAACAAAGTCGCGATGCATGGCCCTTTCACTACTTCAAGGTGCCCTCTTCACTTCAATACTCAGAGAAGTCAGGTTAGCAGAGGTGCAGTTCCTCTGTCATTCGTGCCGAAGAGTGTTCCTTGATGTACCGATTGACGGGACTGACCTTGAACCAGCCAACCTCTCAGTCTGCCAATGTACTGGGGGGGATACAATCAAGGGCCTCCCCCAAGCTCTCAGCCGACAAGCTGCCATGCAATTTCAGCAGATTACCACCTACCTTGCGGTTGTTGATCTCCACGTCGGCCCCATGCCGACGCCAGTCCTCAATCTGCAAGCAGAATAAGCAACATCTGTTGAGCTCGGAGGTCAAGTCTGCAGTCTTTGCTCATTCAACAATCCAAGCCCCCTCAGGGCAGGCCCCATCGCTGTGTGTGGAAAACAAAGAGTTGAAGCTGATGATGAGGGGCAATCCTCCTGACACCAGCAGCAAGTAAACAAATCTACATGCGGGGCGGCCAACATGAGAGCACCAGGAGGTAGAGCCGTACCGCTTCTTTGATGAGCGAGACTCCAATGACGAATATCAACGGAAGAATGACAGTGACGGGGCTGTATGGCGTGAGCGGTGTGAGGGAGATGGCAGCGGAGAAGAGGAAGTAGAGGTTGGCCAGCCGCCGGAACTGCTCGTAGAGGCCCTTGGGGAAGAAGGTGAGCAGGGTGTACTTGGTGGTGCTCGTGCGATTCAACGGGTACCTGGAGGCTGCGCTCCGCTCGGGCTCGTTGAGCCATAGCTCACGCGAGAACCCCCCCGCTCCAACTTCGTCACGCGCGCTCAGGTTTTCGGTGGTCTTGGGGGCCGCCACGCAGCACTTGAGGTGCGCAGGGATGCCCACCTTCTTGATGGGGCCCATGCCAGCCGCAAGCAGGGGGGCAGGAAGGGGGGGGGCGCCCAGCTCAGATGGAAAGAGTGCGCCGGAGTCTAAGGCAACAAGAGCGGCCAGCTTGCTAAGGTGATCAATTTAGGGTGTTGGGCCAATAGATGCAGTAAAGGGCACCTACGGGACAACACTCGAACGACACTGACTACTTTGTCAAACAACACATCAGAGTATCTGCCGAGCTTTCAAATATTTGTAAGTGTCTTCAGAAGTGAAGGAGCCTGCCCTGTCTCGGTCTGAAGCTCCAGATTCAGGTGCGTCTTGCAATAATTATGCGTTCTGGCCCCTGGGCAGATTCTCTGACTGTTTCAGGTCAACATGGATAGAAGCAAGCCGGGCGGCCACATTCCCAACTAATTGCAACTCAGCTCTAACAATTTAGCTGCACAGGAACTCGCAGCACCCCAGCTTTGTATCAAAAGTGTCCGCAAATGCCATGCCAAAACCGCAGCGGGCGCTTGTGCCTGTTCAACGCAATTAGTGGAAGCCCCAATTGCTGAAAGAACACGGCAGCCCTGCCCAGCCGTGTTCTTACACTATCCCGCTAGCAGCAGTGCTGACTGTGAGTTTGGGGTCAAGCTAACTTGGGTCCAAGCCGCCATGAAATCCAGCATGGCCAGCTGGATTGGGCGCCGCGCTGACCAGCAGGGCTGGCACCAATGGCAACAGTGGCAGCAGCTCTGCGCACAAGCTGCGCTAATCCTCGGAAGTTCCTGAATTCTGCTGAGCTGTACCGGCAGTGTACGGGCTGACGTCAGCCATGATGTTCGGAGGTTGAATTGAAACTTGTTTTGACAAGTGTAAACTTCGAACTTGAACTTTCAACTGTCCAATAGGAGCTCAGAGATGAGCCAGCAAGGCTGGCCCGGGAAGGGGGCCCGGTATTATAGGGCCGGGCGGATAAATAGGTGCAGTTCCTCTGGCAACTTCGAACTCAGTTGAACAAAGCTCAAACTTGAAGTTCAAGTCGAGTTTTGACGTACGGTTCTGTTCAATACTAGAGCAAGTTTGACTTTGTTTACACTTTACTGTCTGTGCACAGAGTGCAAGCGCCGTCGATCTCGTTTAATTCTTTTCAATCGACGATCACTATTGCAAGAGAATCTTTCAAATCATTCATGCTGTGAGTCTTGATGAGTACACGGCAGTTCTGCGTTGTCTTTCGGGACATATAAGTCAGGATACCACTGTGATACATTGCAGGGACCCGTAGTTCTTCTGGTTCTGATGGGCTTAGCTGATCCATCAAGGATCGCACTCCAGAACACAAATGCTGGCAAACTCGCGATTAGTGGGAGAGACTAATTACTGTGCTTGAACGGAGTAGGTTGCATGCAGGATATATAGTTTTGAGCATGCTTCCGTTTCGTTCAATCTGGTCCATGCTTAGGTGCAAGAAACATACGGTTTTGTCAGCGCGGAGAGGGGCAAAAAGATAAAAAATCCGACAAAAATAAATCATGACTGAACAGGGGCCTTTATTTTACATAAATGATGAGAACAGTGAATTAGTACTTTGAGCGCTTGGGTTGATCGAGTCCACTGTAATTGACGTGTTATCAGAGGTCGAAGTGGGTCACTGCAATCAATCAGTAAACAGGGTGTTGGTACCTTGAACAAACTCTAGCCCAAATCTAGCCATGTAACATGAAAATTGACGTCAGCGTATAAGACATCAAAATCATGGGAGACATAGATAGCTAGCCAGCAGGCCAGACTCCGCTTCTACCGCCTAGATATCGCTATCGCGGGAGCCTATCACGTGTAATTCATTTCCACTGGGTTATGCGATTGGAAAGGTACGATCGATGACGTCAATCATTTAGCTAATAAATAGGCAAGCTTTAGATCTAATACAACTTGTCTATAATCAATTGCAACCGAGGAGCATGCTCTGCAAATGCTAGCTGTAAATTTGGACGCCCGGTAAGGCTAGACCTTGCAAGGTCAGCTGCATCATCACGAGGCGTTCACCAAGAGTCGTGACAAAAGCATGACACGTACCAAATCAAAAGGGTACGTATGATATGCTTTGAGCAAGCTGCTGTAGCGAGAATCGTACAAACGCGCTTTCTCACTTATTCACATAATTCAACTCTAGCTTATGCAGTCCGCGCTGTGCCCCACGCGGAACCCCTCAGTGTGTAGAGATCCGGGCCTCTGCACGCGAACCTTTGCGAAGCAAAGAATAGCGACTGTTGGGGAAAACCTCGAGCTGAGCAATATGAGAACTAGGATGAGTGAACTTGAAGCGTGCTTTGTCGCGCAATTGCAACGAAGAAGTGTGTCACGGCAAAAACTTTGTGGAGATAAAGGTCTTTGCATCGGGCACAGGTGTGTGGCTGAATGCCTAGTGCAACCAGTCTTTCATCTATAGACAGTATTTCCTACCTAGCAAACGAAACCTACCAAAATCCCGACACTAAACGGAGCCAGGGCTACAATAGTACACCAGCAGGAAAATGTTTTGACCGAGACAATCTCCTCTGCTTACCATGCTGATTCATGCGCGCATACCTTTTGCGAGCATTAGAAAGTCAAAAGATCCAATCGGAGGGTTCAACGTGGAACCTCCCGTCACCAGAAAGATTAGTTTTACCTTACGCAAGCATGCAGCCTATTTACTACAAACGATAAATACACCACCTAACGCGCACGTACATCCCTTAGAGAGGCTTTCGATTCCCTCGTCCCTCCCCTTGCTAAGTTTACAGCGATATGAGCCGCGCAAGCTTGCCCCACGACTGCTGCTTGGCCAGCCGGCCCGGCTGCGGTGCGGCCTGCGGCGAGGGCGCCCCCGCGTGCTGGAGGGGCCCTGTGGGCGAGGCCGGCACGGGGAAGCGGTCCTCGCCCAAGTAGAGCAGCCGCACGCGCTCGTCCCACAGGGCCTGCTTGGCCTTGCTCGCCGCGTCCTCGGTGCGGCGCGCGTCGGCCTCGATGTTGGCTACGAAGCGGGCCTGCCACTGCAGGCTCTCCAGCAGGTCCCTGCGGGAAACGGAGCGCAGCCGGGTCAGCACCACGCAAGGCTTTAGAACCGGTGCCTCGGCCCTGCCTCGCGCTGGACACGTCACCTTTACATTGAGATTCGAATGAATTGAAAGGGGCGTCTAGCCCGTCTAAGCGGTTGCCTTCGCACAAAAAGGCAATCTTCGCTTAGAGCAATATACTAATGCACCCACGGTTAGCCCATCTGCATTTTGCTTTGATTCATGGAACCAATGACCAGAATAGAATCGTTTCGTGGTTAGTTGAAGGAACGCCAAAAGCTACGGTACTATCTCATGCATCTCATATGCATCAACCTGCAACCAGTGCTTCTCTCTTAAAATGCTTTTGCGCACACCGCCCCGGGGTCTGCCGTCCCCACGTCTATTGTCTCACACTTTCGTGAGAACCAGAGGCACAAAGCAGCAAGCAGACCGGCCGTGGTGTCAAAGCGCAATCCTTGCGTTTCCCTTTCATCAAGTCGTTGGAGAAGCGGAAGGTAAGGCGCTCCCCGCTCGCGATCGCCTTCGCCCGGCGATCTTTCGATGCCTGGGTCCGCGGCAAGCCGACTGCTGGGACACAGGCAGTCAAATGATTGATAAGAAACGGTGGGGGGTCACCTGTAGACTTCGCGCAGGCGCAGCGGCAGCTCCTGCTCGCGCCGCTCGCGCTTGGCGATGTCCTTGAAGGCGGCGTCCACGGTGTCCCAGTCCAGCTGGCGCAGCAGCCGGTCCACGCTGCCCGGCTCCTGCTCCTCCGACCGCGCCAGCGGGGTGAATGAGCTCGCGGCCAGGCCCGCGCGGCACTCCTCCTCCACGGCCTTCAGAAACAGCTGCGAACGCAGGGAGGTCTCGTCGGTATTAGCAAAATTGAAGTGTGGTCGTCGGACGCCCTTCACCGAACAGACGTAATCTACTCATGACATGCAATCACATGTCGTGGGGAATCCAGTAGGGTGAATAGAAGGAAGAGGGAAAGGAAGTGGGCTGCTCCAGGGAGGCGTCTGGCGAAAAGATCTCGAGATTACGTTGACATTGCCTTGTTAAGTTGCATAAGCCCCCCGGATTCTCGCACATCCAAAACCCAACAGAGATAACATGCCCCGCACGTGTACCCACCCTAGATCCTCAAACCTAACCCCACCCGTCCTCCGAGCAGAGACCTAACTCAAGGTAGCGTAATTCAACGTAGACTGGATACGTATGCCAAGCGAGCAGACATGCACCAGATTTGAGCACAAGCGGGCTGCACTTCCGCGCAGTGGGGGGCCCACGGTCACAGTGGGCGGGCGGCTCACTTTAAGCGCGCTGCGCAGCTGCGTGCTGGAGATCCAGCCGAAGGTGGGCCCCATGCCCTGCTCCTCGCTGAGCCGCATCTGCGTGTTCAGCTTCTCCACAGCCAGGTTGGCGCGCTCCAGGTTCAGCACTGCGCGCACACCACCAGCACACGCATCAGCATAAATCTGTCGAAAACCATCGAAAGGAGGCCAAACCAACAGCTGTCCGTCGCATGGAGTGGATTGAAGTCTTCGGCCAACAATTCTGGTGCCGCACATTGCCCGGGCGAACAAAGATGCAAGCGCCGAATTCGACACAACAGAAAAGCGACCGCGTCCACCCTCCTGCGTCCTGCCCTGCGACTGGCCTCTCTGTCTCTCTGCGCACTTGATCGACCGCAGTTTGTCTTTACCTGCCGAGTCGAGCAGGCGGTGCGCCTCCTTGTGGTGCTCCAACGCCTGCCGCACCTGCCGCTCGCGCTGCGTCAGCTGCTGCACCGTCGCCTCCGCCGCATTCTCCGCGGCGTCACCCTTGTCGGGGCCCGCGTACAGCGCATCCAGAATGAGCAACTGCTCGTCCGTCAGCGCCTTCTGCACGCGGCCCTCCGCCTGCGGAAGAATTAAGGTCAAGGCGTCATGCACAAGACCGGGCTGGAACGCTTAAACCTTGCGGGAACATATTGGGTTGTGCGCAACCGAGAAGAGGCTGATACTGGGTCATTGTTGGAGCCGTCCACAGGCTGGATCAGGGACATCGCCCCATCAAAATATGGCAGGCTTACTTGTATATTCTCTTCCTGAACAATGCTCAGCTACACAAGAAAACACAAGTCTTTTGTTGTTCAAATCGGGTCAGAGTTGGGCTAGGACTCGCGACTGGAACCGCCTCTCTTCGACCCGACCAGACTCCTGTAATTTCGACAAAGGCAAAAATGTTGATCGTTGCAATGGGGTCCCAGAAGACTCGTCCTTGAAGAAAATTTATGTGTCTCAAAGACAGACGATTGGGGCGATTTATGCACACGAGGAAGGGGCTATCCGAATTTTAAGTGAGGAGAAGACTGAACCACAGCCGAGCCATACGCTGATTCGGCCGGCTGAAGATATCGGAAACTTAGTGGACGAACTAGGAGTCGCCTTGCTCTCCTTTGGGGCCATGCTGCAAATAAAACGTCTAAGTCTTCTTGGCGCACTAATTCAAATGGTGATTTCGAGTGTCAGTTGCATTGCCCTGATTGTTGTTTCCATTGCTGAGGCGATCACACGAAGGTAACAATCTGAAACGCCCCAGCCACCATGGGACAAGAGCTAACTCTCTCAGGTGCCGCTCATTGGACCTGGGGACCTGGGTATGACAAGCCCTTGAAGGCCTCCTCTAAGATGTTCCATTTAAGAACAGGACATTTGTCCTCAAAAGGTGCCCCCCATATTTCAACAGAATTTTACAAAAGAAGAGAGCTCCAATCGATTCGATTACAATCTCAATGCCCACAAGATCAGCAGCCATAGACTAGCGCCCGGCCCCGGCTCGCACCTCGAGCTTGTCCAGCAGTCGCTGTGGCTCCTCCAGCAGCACGCGGCCCATGTCTTCCTGCGCCACCGCTGCTGCCGCTGCGTCTCGCGCCGCGTCCAGCTGGCTGTGCAGCAGAGCCAGCTGCTGCTCGTGGCGCGTGGCGCTCTGGAAGAGCGATCGCTTCTCCGCCACCTTGAGAGCGCGCTCCAGCTTGCTCACGTTCTCACGCGCCGCCACGCGCGCAGCCTCCGCGACGCGCACGTAGTTCAGGAGCCGCTCAACTTCCGCCTGCGCAGGCAGCAGACGAGGCACCGCATATTGAATAGCTAACTTTGTGCACTTTGACACTGTATGGAATCGAAGATGCCATAATGAAGGGGAGCGAAAGAAATACTTACTTGCTGCCAGTAGCAGCAAGCAGGATACCACATGTGACAGGGCTTCCCACATTGTCAGAAGGGTCCAAAGGCTGCACAGTATAGAGCAAGAAGTGGTACTCAAAAAGGTAGTGCGGGTGACCGAGTCCCTCCTGCTAGGGCAACAGTCCCTCCTGCTAGGGCAACAGAGACAGGGCGGCCTGAGCAAGAAAAGGGCGGGGGGGCCTCACGCGCTGCTCCTCCAGCTTGTCTGCGAGGCCCTCATATGGCGCCAGCTCTATATCCAGCTGCTGGAAGCGCGCCACCTGGCGGGTCTCAAATGTGCCCCCTGGGATGAACCTGCACGCCCCCGCGTCCCAGTCAGAAGGGGAAGATCTGTTTAACAACGTTTGAATGTGAGTGAGCCGAGGAAGTCTCTCGGCTTCTGACACAGCCAACAGAACTAAGTAGTAATAGATGTGCAAGTTGGAATGAGGGAAGAGAGCGGAGTAGTGTACCAATCAACCTGAACAGTGACAGACAACATACTTTGGGCGCATAGCCCTCAGCGGCGCTCACTTGGCTCCCTTTGGTGACATGATGGGTTCCGGCGGAAAGTACTGATCATACGCCATAGCATTTGGTGGGCTCAGCTTCGTGGGGGCATAGAGATCGACATCAGGACGGACCCCTCCTGGCTTAGGAATGGGTAACAGATCCTCCTGCCCCTGTACACCACAGGCGAAAGTCAGCGAGAGGGGATGGAAAACAATGGACCGGAGGCGCTCCATGCCATGCGCTCGCGAATCGCTCGCGAACTTCTCCAAAGTGTCATCATTCGTGTCGAACATGTCAGATTACCTACATGTCATTGATCTGACCAGCTGGTGGCCCAAGGGCACTCCTCCTGCATGAGGCCATTCGCCGCACGCCGCACGAATCTCAAAACAGGGATGGGGAGTGCAACATTGCGAGAAACAAGAGACTGTTTGCTTGTCAAGTTGGCCCGCCGTGCAGCAGCTGGTGTCTCTTTGGACCTGAACTATGCAGTAGCGGTCGGTGCGCATCCGAAATTCCTGATCAATACGAAGCCCAATCGCTTCAAACAGGGACCTCTTTGCCCGACCTGCCCCAGCATGCATGGGGGGGCACTGACCTGCAGATCCTCCAGGCTGCCCAGCTGAACGTGGCCGGTGGGATCATCTGAACCAAAGCCCAGCTTCTTGAACAGGCCCGACAGCGAGACGGGGCTGCTTGGGGCCATGTTCATCGGAGAACGGAAGCGCAACTGGCTGTCCTTTCCAACCCAATCAACAGCGGCAATCTCCAATGCAGGGGCAATGTGGCTCAGCGAACCATTGGCTAGCAATGTTGCAGGCTGCTCGCAAATACGCTGTAATCGCGACTCATAGATGGTCTCCGTATTTCAATCCTGCTCGAGGAGCTTCCCAGTGATCGTGGCGAAATTGTTTTCGGAAATGCGCGAACACTAATTGCTGAAGCGCAAATTCACCCTAATTGGCGAAATTGGCAAAATTATCTGTATGCTCATGACTTTTCGGGCGTCCCAGCCTATGATTTGGTGCCAAAATATGTGATGGTCTGACGCTAACCCACCTATCAGCCGCCTCGAAGGCAGACTGCCCATACATGGTCAAGTCTGAGCCCAGAATGTCATTGTCACAGGCGTTTTACGCCCGCGCGCCTATGCGCGGCCGCGCGGCCGCGCGGCCGCGCTTAATTTCGCCAACCTGCGCAAACTGCTCCGTTTGCGCGAATATGCGCAAACAAATGCGCAAACCTAATTGGCGAAATCAATTAGGTTTCGCCACGAACACTGGAGCTTCCCCATGTTGCGCCCAGTCGGAATGCAAGGCCACAGCTCAATGGTCGATCGCATATGCACGACGGAGCCAAAGTGGCAAGCCGCACGCTGAACTACCGTAGTGTGTTTTCTCAGAATATTGACACGTGGCAGCATGTGAACTTGGTTCAGCACTGCAGACGTCAGGTGCTTCCGTCAGCCTGATTTCGGGATTCTGTACGTCACTAGGACGTCAGAACTTAGAAGTTACGAACTAAGTTGGAATCAGGAGCTGGCCTGAATTCGCTTCGCCCAATGCCTGATTTCAGGATCCGTTTGCATGAAAGAGACCGTCGATCGATTTGTATAGCTCGACTAAGTACAGCCTAAGAGTGATATGTTCCGGATGAAAGTTCTGCGGTTCATGTTCTCGAAGCTAGCTTCAATGTCGCACTCATCCGTGGAGCGCTACATTGGCATCCATTCGAAGTGCGGCGCATTCGCAATTCAAACACCCAATTAAAACGCGCCAGTTATCTTCGAATTCCTCCATGAGAAGCCGCGCTGAAACATTGCTGGACAACTGAGAAAAGGTGCATCATGGGAGGCTCTACACGAACTGATGACAGCTCGCGGAATCCTTGTTGGCGTGCATCATGCGGGACACAAAGACATGCCACTGCCAGAAAGCTGGCACCTTTGCAATATAGTGATAACCTATGCATGGCTAAGTTCTACGGATCAGTCTTGCATTGCTCATAGGATTGGCGCCATCTCCGTCAGAGCACGTTCCCAATGATTGCGCGACCAGATTGTTTTCCAAGGGCATCAATCAACATGTGCAGAATAGGGGGACCAGGATAAAATTGCCCATCAACATAAGCATAGGTTCTCAACTGCCCGCATGACTTGCGAACCGAGTGAATGAAACTTGCTTCTGAGGATAAGCGATAGAAAAGACGCGGTTCCATTGACGGAACGTCTTCGAGGGACCTTTGAATCAGACGCCCTCTTCGTATCAGAGAGGCATGGTAGGACTCTGACCGTTTCGTACAGACAAAAGGACCGCTTCATCGATGTTGTACTTCGGTCACCAAGACCCTTCGGCTCCCTTTGTGGGGTCCACGAACGCCTGCAAGGTCGTCAAGACTTTTAGAGAGCGACAGACGAGGAGACGGGGCGGAGGCCCCCTTTCGCTCATCAGATTCTTAGCATCACCGCGAGAAGCAGAAGGACGCCAGACATGCAGAGACAGCAAAAACGCACCTGGTAGCTCCACTCCGAGGCGAGCGCGTACGGCCGCGATATCTCGATGCCCTTTTCCGTAACCTTGGCGACTTGAACCTGCGCACGAGAGTGAGCTCCGAATCACTCAGCTGCGAAGTCCCCATACACATGCCGGCAGAAAGCTACACTTCAGTGCATACGAGGTTCGGAGCGTCAATCTTCCGCACAAGCGCAAGTCTATTTGCAGCGATATGGGTTTGAGGAGTAGAGCCGTCGTGCGGGTGGTCACCTTGTTGATGCTCTGCTTGTCGCGGTAGTAGAGTACCCGCAAGCACTTCTCCAGCAGGGCCACGCCCTCGTCCTGCCACAACGCGCGGCACACGCCACGTCAGCAGCCGCAAAGCAGGGCAGCACGGGGCCGGACAATGAGAAGCGTACATACGAAACTGCAGCGAGCACGACTTGACAAGACCTCCATCCATAAGCACTGTCAAAAAGAGGCTTTCTGTCATTGAAACCCTCCTGGAATTGAGCAAGATGATGGCTCCAACAATGGCTTGGCCGGGCACCAACTGTGCAAGGGGAAGTTCTATATTTGACAAGCAGTCCGGCTGGTTTCGATTCACAAGTTATGCCGCTGAAAGGACTCCCGGCCACTTGCCTCGGTCATGTCAGGCCGGTGCTCGCTACGGAAGATGGGCCGTGCCAGGTGGTTGCCGAACCCGGTGGCAACGTGGTCGTCCTCATAAGCGGCGCCAATCATGCCCACTACGCCCAGGAAGCTGCACCAACCGCCGCCGTCAGGCCTAGCAATCTTTGAAAAACGTTCAAAGGCACGCTACGGTCTCCTTTTCGATCACGCGACTGAACCTGACAATTCTGATCACCCCATATCTCAGGACAAAAAGCGGTCACATGCATAAAAAGCACCACCTGAAACGCCCAACACACCAGCGAAGCAGAGATGCCTTCTGAGCTACCAAAGATGGGTCCCCATGTCGGTCTCGAAGCCACCAAATCTGCAATGGTCGCCGATGCAACAGAATCCAACATGCGCTCGCACGGCTTGCTCACACCTTGTTCTGGGGTTCTATAGATTACACACAGACAAACCTTGATTCCGGTCGACCACTTCCGCTACTCCATGCCTTACCTTTTGCCGTTTTTGACGCCCCCAATGACCAGCGAGTTCCACAGCGGATCGAACTTGTTTCGCCTGTCCACGAAGCAAAGACCTTTTTGTTGGTAATCAGGGTAGTGCGTTCACTATTGCTTCCACACTGGCAGAGCACGGAGCGGGCGACAAGTACACAGCTGCACAAGCTTCCCCAGTTATTCTTTCATAAAGCAGAGAAGGCAAAACACAAGTGGAAGTGATTGCTCAAGCTGCAGGAAAGGCCTGGCCTCAAGCAAGGATACACAAAGGACTGTACGTCGCCCAACGGGTTGGGTATGGTATGCCACCAAGAGCACTTGTACCGGCCCCCAGACTAGCAAATGACACTTGGCAAAGCACGAACTCCTAAAAGTAGCTTACCTATTGTACAAGACCCGCGTCAAGTAAGCGTATATCTCCTTTGGATTCAATTGCAAACCATCATCGTGGTTAAAGTCATCCGTGCTGCAGACATGAAACCCAGGGGTCAGTCTGCTGGATCACTTCCAAGAGCACTTTCTGAGGGACCTGCGTGCAGGTGGCTGAAGCGAAGAATCGACAAAGGAACCACACATGGGCAGAGGCTGAGATTTCGAGCTGAGAGTGAGCCCATGGCCAAGCATGTCAGATTGGGGAACTCACGCAAGTTCCTCTAGAAGGTTTGAGATGTACTGGTAGTCAGATATTTCTCCGCTCGCCCCTAGCAGTGTGTGGTCGTTCACCTTGTGCAGGCGTTCAATCGACTTATACCGAATGGTTGAGCCATAGGATGCTGCCACAGAACAACAACTGGATCATCATACTGAAGACCATAAGAGGACCACAAGAAATATTATTTTAAGCAGAACTTGAGGTGTCTCATTCAAGGATAAGTGGGCCAAGGCTTGAACATTCTTTGAAAGAGACAACGTACGAGATACATGCCTGCAAAAATGTGAGGATGTGGGTGCACTTGTCTGGCAAGTGCCAAGAGCAATTTCCCATTGCCACCAAATAATAAGCTCAGAACAGGGCATCAAGCCGCTAGATAGTTAGGCTGCCGTCATTGAACACGTGCACTCACCCAGCGTGTCTGCCGCTATAAGCACCCCATCCTTGTACTTGATCCCAAGGACAGACGTTCCGGTGACATACGGATCACTGCAGAATGGTCCACAAGATTTAGGAAGGCAACCAAGAAGGAAGAGTATCGATCAGAAGAAGCGGCCGGTCAAACCTCAGCAATCCAGAACGGCCATGAGGACGTTCTTTACAACAGTCCACCTGACACTATTCATCACACATGGGCTCAACACTTCCTTGCAGCGACACTAGGAAATTTGTAGCGTAGGACTCCCTGATCGCCTACATGTGAGTACGAGTATTTCCAATGTTGGATACTGAAGCATGGTACAATTGTTGCTCAAATCCTTTCACTTCCAATCCAATCCCTATGATGTCGCCGTCCGCCAATTGGACAAAGAACGCTCCTTCATCATTCCGTCCTCACTTGGTATGCTTTGCCGGTCCATCGACAGGAACATCAAACTTGTGTCCAGCCGCTCCTGGCACTGATGACTCCCCTGCATAAGGCACATGAGCCGCCGGAGGCCCAGGGGCTGGCCCCAGCATGGAAGAGTGCCGCTGCGGAGCAGGAAGCATGGTGGCAACAGGCTAGTCGACAGATTCTATTGCTTGAGAGGGTGGATAGAGCTTTCAATTGACGCCTGTGTCGTGAGCTCGCAATTTGGATAGCGCCAGAACTGAGCAGGGAGAGCTGTGGACTGCAATCCTGCTGAAGTTTCAACCTGGTCTTCAAGTTGTTGCTCGAGAAGCTGAGCGGAAGTGTCGAGCCAACGAGTTTATCACGTGACCAACTTCCGGTTCCCGTGATTGGCCAAAGTACACTTCTTTTTCATGGGAACTTTGAAGATTTGAAAATTTGACAAATCAATCCTCAGATAAGTTGTGGCGAGCACAAAGCGGGGCAGGGGAACACCCAGGAACACCTCGTGAGCCGATCAAGTGTGATCCTCAACTTCCCCTCAACTTTCTCTATGTCAAGCTCAAGAATCTGTTTTACTTCTGTATTTCAAACAGATTAGGCTTTCCACAGCAAGGGCGCCAGGATAGTTTGAAGGCTCTGGCAAGTTTTGAGGGCCAGAGCGGTCACGTAGAACACGCGGGGACGAGAATGAGCTGAACAAATAGCCTGTGCGAACGCGTCTAGAAGCTTGCTACTTCTGGAGGGCGGGACTTATAAAGCACGCTGTGGGAAGAAGTGCGGTCGGAGCTTTTTGTTGACCAAACGTAATCCCAAGCAATCCAGCTTTGCCTCTTACTTGCAGTACTTGCGAGGCCTCACAGGCTCAGTAAAGATCCGGGCGTCCTTGCCCGGTTGGGGCGATGTCGTATCTGTTGCCCCACTTGCACTCCGGGTGGGCTGTGGACCAGGCCATCTTGTCCGAGGAAGCACGTGTGGTGGTGATTCGCTTCGGCCATGACTGGGATGAGACGTGTATGCAGGTGAGGCCTCCGGGTACCCCCCCAAACAGGGTGCCGCTTGCCGTGCTGCTCCCGCTTAGTCCATCTTGCTTGTATATGGTGTTGTCAGTGTGCTTCAGTGATGGATCATTTATTTAGGTCCTGAGTTGCTTTGAGTTTTGTGCTGTAGCTCGTTCATTTTTCATTGAGTGCAACCCAGCAGCTATGCGACTGGCTGGTGGCATGCTGAGTGTGGGGCGCCAAGCAGGCTGCAGGGCAGGGGCGCGCTCTTACAGCTGCTGGCCAGCCCGTTTCAGGCTGGTTATGCTTGACAGCTTGTAACTTCAGCAAGCTCCTTATTTGTCGTTGTCTGACGTCAGCTTTGTCTAGAAAGGCTTTGTTGCGCTGCGCTCCTGCTCCAGCAGCGCACGGGCTTCCGCTGTGTGAACTTACCGGTCGGGCACTTCATTTCGAGAAAGTTTGAGGGCAGCCCCCTGGCATTCTTCCACTTATGTTTTAAATGAGACAGGGCCTGATTTAGTTGTTTTGATGAGTGGGACGAGGCCTCTTTCCTGGACAACCTGTTTGAAAGTTGGTTGAACCCGAAGAATCTTCCATATTTTCAGATTGGACGTATGGCTGGGACATGTTCAACCATGTGCCTTAGCAACAATCACTGGTCACAAAGCCGGTCTTTCGTCAAGGTCCATGACTATTCCTGTCAAATTTCCAAATGGATTTGGTTGTTTTCTAGTGTGAATTGTGCCTCTCTGCTTGTCCGCGCTACACCCATGGACTGGCGGCCGACTTGAGCTGTCCAACGGGTTGTTGTGCAGATGGACGAGGTGCTGGCAGGGTGCGCGGACCAGCTCAAAAACTTTGCGGTGATCTACCTGGTGGACATCAGCGAGGTGCCCGACTTCAACACTATGTACGAGCTGTACGACCCGTGCACCACCATGTTCTTCTTCCGCAACAAGCACATCATGGTCGACCTTGGCACGGGCAACAACAACAAGATCAACTGGGCCATGAAGGACAAGCAGGAGTTTATTGACATCGTAGAGACAGTCTACCGAGGGGCGAGAAAAGGGCGGGGCCTGGTCGTGTCGCCCAAAGATTACTCGACCAAGTACCGGTATTAGAAATCGGGGGAGCGCAATCAACCAACTAACAGCGTGCTAGTGATCAGAATCGGAGATTCGAGATTAGTTCCTGCAGCTAGCAGAAACTACAAAGCCGCCATGCTGGAGATGTGGGAAGGCATAAATGTCCAGGCAAATAGCCGAACGTGCAAGTCTGTAGGCAGGTGACAGATTCTTTTACGACATCGACTTTCAATTACCCCCTGCCAAGGAGTTGAAACTGCATACCTAGGATAAAAGCATGGAACCAGTGCTACAGTCCATGCATGCTCTCTACAGATCTGGACAATCACGTACACGAGCTTGAGGTAACTCTGCAGATGGGTCCATTAAATTTCAGTCATGCACTGCATAGGCAATTGTTGTTTGGCATGCGTTGCTGTCCGCGAAAGTTTTGCATCACCATGCGAGCTATGCAGCTCGCAGATATCCAATCGAAGCCTGCATTTGTTCAAAGTTCGAAAGCTTTGTCGACGTTTCGGATGGTCAAGTCATAAAAGGCTGGGATCTGTGCTGAACCTTGAGCTTGGGGTCAATCGCTGGCAAAGAAAGACCCTTGTCATGCCTTTCGCAGTTGTTTTCATGTTGGTCAATCTAAAGTTAAAAGATGCACATGTCCAGCGGCCAGCTGAAAGGTCGAGAATTAAGTGACCGTTTGGTGTGGGATGTATACTTTATACACCCGGCGTATAAGACCTGCCTTCACTGGGCCAGTGAAGGCAGGTCTGCTCAGAAAACAAGGTCTAACCGCTGCCCGTTTGCGTAGCCAAATCTCCAGGTGCTCATGGATGTCCGACGGCTATTGATCTGGTATGCTCTTATCTGCTTAGGAGTCACGAACATGCTACATATGCAGGGAACAACAACCTCGCTGTCCATTTGCTCACCAGTTAACAATTGCGCTCTCTCATAACCCTCCGTTGCTCCATGCTTGCGCGCCAACGGGCAATCTGCATGGGCCGATTGATTGTTGACGCCAAGCTGCGATAGCCAAGTTGATAGCGAAGTCGGAGAACTGGGCCCATCACAGGGCTCAGCTCCTTCCATATGGTACAAGCCCCCTCCACCAGGAGCCAACTCTGCAGAGTGCACCGTTGGACTGCTTCTGATAAGAGAGGAAGCTCGTGCTGCCCTTTGCGCTATGGCCGCCTGCGTGGCATACGTCTTGGAGGCCCTCCTGCCAGGTGTGCAATCCATCACAGAGCCCCGATGGCGTTTTCCAGGACCGCCGTAGTGGCTTTACCTGAGGTGCAAACGCTGCGCCGACAACGAGATCGGACCGTCTTGTCTCCTGTGCGTCAAGTGCGTGAGCGTGCTCTCGCCCGCCTTTACTTCCACGTCACCCCTGCCCCTCTGCTTTGAACACGGCCCAGTCGCCCGTCATGACGGCCATCACGTCCGTCTCCTTCACCGGGTCCCCCGCATCCCGCACCAGCGCCGAGTCCGCGCCCTCACGCGACTCCGCCTGCACCACCGCTCCCGCCGCCACTGCCGCCACCGCACCCTCGTTCCCCAGTCCCCCGCCCTCCCCTTGGCCCTCCGCCTCATGCCCACCGCTGTCTGCGGTACCGTCCGCCCCCCCGTCGTTTTCGCTCTCTTGCTCCTGCTGCTCCGCGGGCGAGTCAACGGTGTCCATGGCGCGCAGGGCCCAGTCCAGGACGGGCGTCGCGATCTGCTTGCAGAAGTGGCCCTGGAAGTGGATGCCCGCCAGCGCGGTGCCGTTCACATGCGGCAGCAGCAGGCCCGCGCCGCCCACGATGCGCCACTCCACCACGCGCCGGAACTCGGCCAGGTCGCAGTCCCACCCGATGTACTGCTGCAGGTTCATCAACGCATAGTACGCCCTGCGACCACGCAAAGCGCCGTTTAGGAGTTCGGGGTCGGTCAACAGGCAGGCAGCGTGGATAAGAGGCTGACTGTTGACTGAGCAGGACGATTAGTTCTCTCGCTGGCACGACATCCTCAGGAAAACATGAACCGAGTTCCTGTTGAGCTGCTTGGCAAATACTGTGCCCACATAAGTCCATATCGGCCTCCCCCACAATAAGCAGGATACACCAAGGGGCACCTTTGAGGTAGTGGGCTTAGAGAGTCATGTGGGAACTCCCTCTCGCAGCCGTCCCGAACACTGACCTGTAGTCGGGCGTGAGCTCGCCCTTGAGGTCGTACACGAGGAGGTGCTGGCTGACGGGCTGGCCCGCCTCCTGTGCCGCGGTGACGAACGAGTAGAGCATGTACATGTCGCTGAATTGGTGGAACGTGGCGTTCATTGCCTCCCCGAACCGCTCCCAGTCCGCCTCCACCGCTGCCTGCAGCCGCAAACAGCGCCACTCAAAGAGGACGGCAGGGCACTCAACATACCAAACAACAACATGCGAAGATAATCTCTCGGGTGCTCAAAACGACCACGGGCCCTCTAAGCGGTGCAGGGCTTTCTGGGACCACCGCAAAGCTCTTGCAGCAACGCGCCAATCCATTATTGCTGAAGGTCTGCAGTCCCGGACACTCTAAATGATTACAGGTTTAAAAGTCCCAGTCAGGAGACCCTGCGGTAGCAGTGCCTGGCAGAGGGGCCTTCGGCGGTGCCTCACTTGGGGCCGCGTGTAGAAGTGCAGCATGTGGTCGCAGAAGCGGTTGAGGGCGGGCAGGCGCCAGACGGAGAAGAAGGTCGAGTGCGTGGAGAGGGCCACGATGTCGGCGGGGGAGCGCAGGAAGTCGGCCTGGTCCGCAAATAGGACCATGTCGTGGTCCAGGTGGAAGAAGCGCGAGTAGCCCTCCTGCGGACAGGGCACTACAGCGTCAGACAAGTGATGCGGACGCAAAAGTAGCGCTTAAAGGCACAACACGTTCAGGTGCTTCCACCATATGGAGCGGTGGAGAGAAGGGCATAGGTGTAACACAGACAAGGGAAGTGCAACGGCTGTGAGCGGCGGCGGGGAGAAGCAGCTTACCTGGACGGCAATGTCGCGCAGGATGAAGAAGCGCTGGAAGCAGAAGCGCTCAAAGTCCTCCGCTACCACACTGTGGTGGATGTACCTGCGCAGGGCACCACGGCGAGGTCAGACAGAGGGCAGGCAAGGAGGGGACAATCGGCGCCATCGCCGTTTTGTACTCCCAACAGCCGACGGGTCCAGCTGTCAAGAGGGGAAGAGGACAGGCAGTAGCGCCTCCTGCAAGTTTGAGACTTTGTTGCCAGCTTCACAACGTCTGCGGTTGGCATGTCCAGCTGACCTAGTGACGGAGCGGGGCCAAACTTGAGGTCTACTGAGAGCAACATTCACTGGGGGGCACTCAGCGAACCCTGACCTTTGCCCAAAAGTGTGGGCGTCGGTGCCGGGGGTGAGGAAGTGCTCCATCAGCTTGACCTGCACCCCCGGCAGGCGCAGCACCTCCTTGAGCGCCGGAATCGACAGGGCCGCCTCCCCGCTGATCACCACCAGCAGCGGCACGCCAGGGTGGTACCTGCACCCACGGCAGCGCGTCAGCCGGCGCAATGCGCATGCCCATGCGCGGCGGCAACAAAGATGGGATGGAGCAGTGGAACGTCGGCGGCCATGGTGGTCTGTACAGCTCTTTCGGAGAATCTGTATCGAGTACAAACGAGACAACGACTGGCTTTTATTGACGGCTATATGACAGTCCCAGCATCCGGGATTGCCGACTGGCGCCCGTCTGTGATGCCCAGTGCCAGCCATGCTGTCAGCGAACAATCATGGATGACAGCACTAGCCACGCACTTACTTTGTTGCCAGCATCAACACCTGGATAAGCGCCGGCGCCTGGCGAGCTTTGCCCAGGAAGGACACCTACCTGCGCGTTGCTCGCAGGCAGTAGACCACAAACTCGGTCAGCTCGGAGGCGACGTATACAAAGGGCACCACCTCCTCCTGCACCTGCACCAGGGCGGACCCAGGCCTCGAGTCGATCTGCCAGCTTTCTGGTTCTGCAGAGTAGAAGCGGTGCAAGTGAACAAAGTCGAGGTAGAGCAGGCCCAGAACGCCAATGCAAGCCAGCACCAGGGTGCGGACCAGGCGCTTGGCCATTGCACGGACACGTGCACCTCACGAGCAGCGAATGTATGTGATCTTTGAAGGGAGGAGCCGCTAGAGCTGTGCCAGTGTTGAGTAGTATTGTAATGTAGTGCACTTTGCAGTACAGTGAGAATCCTCACATGCCATTGTCATTCGGCTTTGATTATGTGCTACAGCGCTTTCTCAGTCGCCGCAGATCTCATCCTGTCAGAACGTTTTCTGGACCGCATTGATGTGCAGCAGGCCTAATAATCGATCTCTATGAAGCCCAATGTGGATAACAACGTCTGGCGGTCAACTTGAAGGCCCAAGCTTAGATACGGCTGCTGAGCGTACCCGGCGCTTTAAGGCGCGCTTTCAAAGGAGACTCTCAGCGATCAAGGATTCATATATCATCCAAGATAGTCTCGGCAATCAAGGGTCAGCCTTCAGGCCTGCAAAGTGAACTTCCCGAGAGAAAACTGGCGTTTGCAGAGATGAGCGCTGCTTTTCGAATCTCATGCCAATGGTATGCGCCCCTTCGCCAAAAACTCTCCAGAAATTCTAGCTCAGGGATTTGCTGGCGTGTACCTATCTGGAATTCCACCTGTCTCATAGCCTCTCTCTCGCACCACAAGCGCCGTCGATTATCCTCATCTCAAAATTGTGACGGTCGAAGTTGGACAATAAGATGTCAGCGGATTACCGCCCACTCTGAAAACAGTTGCAAGAACTTGCAACCATGTTGGCGCTTCAAGTTCTGGCACAAACGACGGGCCTCGATGAAGCCGAAGCGGCGAAGGCCAGCTTGGCAAAACTTGATCCGCAAATACTGAGCTTCAATTCATATGGAGAGGCGTCGAGCTTAGTCATTGAAGAAGCCTGCCCGTCCACGTTGCGAGCGTTGAGCTTGAGAGCAATATGCTGCTGCATAGCACAGCGCGAGCGCCATGGCTTCGGATGGCGCACCTTGCGCAATGCTGCTTGAGCTCTTCCAGCTAGCTGTTGACATCAAGTAGCACCCACTTTCTCGGATATAACCCCGGCAATGAGCTCTTGACTCAGCCCTCACACGAAAGGAGACCACAAGTTGGTTAATTGAGAGGGCTTTTGGCCACTGCGACTTGCTTGACGTTCTGCGGCGCCAGCAATCGCTCAGCATCTCTGCGGCTACCGCGTCTTGCTCGCTGGCTGGCTGCCTTTCCCGCCAGGATGGACAGCATCGATGGGCAGCGCGTCATGCTGGTGCTGCAGGACATGCTCGATGGCCTCAGGTGCGACAAACCTTACCGCAACAGTGCCAGGAAGCTGAAGCATTGAAGGGAATACAAACAAAGTTATTGCATTGCAGCCAGCAGCTTGCCGAAGAAGTTGCTCGCACAGTCTGCCTGGAAGGAGCTCAATGTCCTAAGTCCGGGAAGGCCTGCCCACCACCCATGCGGCAAACAATCAAACGCAGTCTAACAACCAGCCGTGCCTTGCCAGCGCGTGTCCCCACCATGCCTGACTGCGCGCCTGACTGTGTGCTCTCCTTGCTGCAGCTGGGCATCCTCCCTGACCCTGCCCCTCCTCAGCAGCGCGGCCGAGAGCACCTCCCTGCCACCCGTGAGTGGCAATGCTCCTGGATGAACTTTTCAAACTATGGCGTCCCTTTTGGAACCGCTCTCCCTTGTTGGCCCGCCCTTCCGCTTCTTCCAGCCCACTGCATTGCATTGGAGGGGTACTCAGCGCAACTTTTTGTCTGTTGGCAAAGGGAACTGCTGAGCTCCAAGTGTAGGTTTGCGCACAGGCCGTGCGCAGCCTCCTCGCCACGCACCAGCAGGCTGCAGAGCGACTCGCCAGTGCGGCGGAGAGCGGTGCGCCGACGGACGCGGGTGCAGTTGTCGACTCCACGCGTGAACTGTGCAGGGAGCTCAAGGTCAGCCAGCCCTGGCATGCACTGTCACCAACTTGATCTACACCAGACTACGCTTTCGTCCCCTCTAGGATTATATTACCACCTAACATGCTGCCCGCAATTGAAACGTCATCAGAGAGCCTTGCTAAGGCAAGGCAGATCTCTGTCGCCTTTCTAGACTCGACGTCAAGCCGCCCGGCTAGCTGCTGCCAGTCGGAACCCTCAGGCGAGAAGTGCTTTCCTTACTCACGAACTGACTTGGTTGCGCCCTCGTGGTTGTGTAGAGGGAGCCGTTGGCGGGGCTTGAGCTGCTGCGGTTAGGGGAGGAGCGGTCCAAGCCCCTCGAGGTCCTCACAGCCGTTGTGAGACGAGTGAGGCGCCGCGCACTGCATGGCTTGCCCGCCCCAGATACATATGCTACGCTGAGACGACCTGTGCAATGATTGGATCGGCGCCGACCGTAATCCGGTGGCTCGCAAAGAAACGTTACGCTTTGCTGCCAGTGCTGGAGCCTGCCCTCCTTGCCGCCACGCCCGCTGGCACTTGCTGGCGGCTGCCGCTCTGACTGTTGGTTGTCTGGTGGGGCGGTGATGTGCAGCTGACGGAGCAGATGAAGAAGCGGCTGGCCACCACGGTGGAGGAGGAGGCCTCGCGCCGCCAGTTCCACACAGAGGTGGCGCGCAGGGAGGAGAAGGTGTGAATCACCATTTGCGCACTGTCCTCCCAAAATCTGCATCTAGACGAGTTTGACAATTAGACGCGTGACTGGCCGGCCCCTCTGCGCAACTGATGCCCCAGCCTGGAGGGACGTACTGGGCTCAGGATGGCTGGCCAGGGTGCCACCATGGCAGACAACGCGACTTTCAGCGTGTGCTTTAAGCTCTGGTCTTGTTCAAAACGTCAGCTCGGGTAGACGCCTCTGTTGTGCGTGCGCTGATGCGGCTGGCGGCTGTGCGTGCAGTCGAGCAAGGAGCTGCAGAGCCTGGAGCAGCAGGCGCGTGTGGAGCGGAGGGACCGCTCACGCGCACTGCTGCAGCTCGCAGAGGCGGAGCGCCGCGCACGGGGTACGTAACGCACACGTTGCCAGAGTATCTCCACACAGACTGAAGATTGTGATGCCGCGCTGTAGAAGATGTCAAGAACCTTCAATGGAAGAATGTTCCCTCGCTTGTAGTGATGTAGTCTTATCGCCCGCCCTTTTTGTAACGGCTCCTGCTGTGATCGTGCAGACGAGCTGGCGGTGGTGCGCAGCCAGACGGTGACGGTGGCAGAACGCCTTGCGGATGAGTACCGCACAGCCGAAGAAGCGGAGCGGGCCGGCTTTGCAGACAGGGTGAGACGCAGATGGAGTGGCTACGGAAACAAAACAACACTGCGGGGAGAAGAAGGACACGCGGAAAGCATGCGTAATCAACAGCAGTCGCAGCCCTGCACCAACTATCGGGCGATCTATCCAGGCGCTGACGGCCCTGCTCTTCTTCGGCGGCCCGTTTCCTGCCTCTCTGTCCCATCTTTTAAACACCTGGACCACAGTCTCCAAGTGTCCGAGGTTTTCGGGCCGTAGCTCCACCGGTTTTTCGCCCCCAGTTGACATGCCGGGCATCCACAACCCACTGGAAACCTATATGTGATACATGTTTTGTGTCCTCAGGAGGTTGCCCTGAGCGCGGAGGCCGCCGCGCTGGCGGGCGAGCTGGCGCGCGTGCAGGCGGAGGCGCGCGAGGCGGAGGCGGCACTGCGGTCCAAGAAGAAGAGCAGCGAGAAGGAGGTCGCGGACTGGCTCGCCGAGTACGACCGGGACATGGCGCAGCGCGACAAGGAGAACCGCGACAACAAGGTCAGGCACACCGCCGCGGTGCCGCCAGGCATCACAACAAGGGACTCGATCACAAAAATCTGCTCTCGGACAACCGCCTGCCTGCACTTACAAGCGACTTCTTCTACTCGCTGGATTTTCCACATTTGCAGTAATGTGATTGTGATTCTGGAAGATGTGCTTGGCTGGTCGCGTCGGCATGCGCTCTTCGGTGGGCGACTCTGAGGTGCCCTCTTTGGCCTAATGCAGGCGGAGTACCGAGACATCAAGAAGAAGCTGCGCGGCTACCAGGCCCACTACCAGCGGCTGCAAGAGGAGGTGAGGCACCCGCAGCGGCAGCACCGGAACAGTCTTGGACAGTTGGCCTCCGCAACTGACCAAAAGAGTCCATTGCTTCGCCAGCTACGGGTAACTCTCACGGTGTTAGTGAGAGGAGACAGACCCGTCCGGGGATGTTTGGGTGTCACCGCGGTCGCTCAAGGCGGCAGAGTGTGACGGGCGTGCGCATGCTGCTTGTGGCAGGAGGAGCGGCGAGCGGCAGAAGAGAAGCGCGCGGCCGAGGAGAAGGCGGTGAGTCCCGGCAAGCCCCGCCAAGCAAAGATTGCCTCCAGGGCGGAACGGCAGTACTACAGGGTTTTGCGCCGCTCAGCAGGCGGCACCGTGCTCCTCCTTGAACAATGATCGGCTGAGGGGTTGCGACTCAAATTTGTACTGTTCTCAAGTTCTGTTGGCCCAGGTGAGAAAGAACTGAGATGTCGGCTGGCGTTTTTGTCATGTGACAGAAGCTCGACTCAGAACAAGGGCGCATTAACGACGCAGCCAGGAAGATCCAACACGCGTGGCGAGGTTTCCAAAAGACAAAAGACGCGGTTGAGAAAAAGCCGACCAAAAAGGTGAGCGTTGAAGTACGAAAACTCAGCAGCATACCTGACTCAAGTGCCGGGGCCAACTGTTTAGACATGCCACTTTCGTGCAGTTTCTGGAAGCACAAGCTTGTCCCTCAAGCACTCTTCGAAGCGGCCTTTTCAATCAAGCCACTAGCTACGGTCCTTGCTTCCGTAGCCTTTTATAAGCTGCGACCTTCTGACTTCATGCTGATTCCCGGCACGAAGGTGCAAGATGCAAAGCAACTCTATCAGGTTTTCAATCATTTTTCTCGAGTCGAAGCGATGAGAGTCGAAAAAGGTGGTATACGCTGCACAGACATCACCTGCCGGAGGGAGTTACGGCTTCGCTTCTAGTCCGCAACTTCGGCGATGCGATTTACCGAGGCGTCGTATATCGTACTTTTGCAAGCAAGTTTAAACTGTGGCACAGGGTCTATCTGCAGTGTCTTCATGGCTGTGGCTTTATACCGTACAGGGAAAGACCTCAAAAGTCAAAGGCGGGAGGACATCAGAGAAAGCTAGCAAAACAGCGGAGAAACCAAAGAGCTCGCAAGGCAAGAAAAAGTGAAACGTATTGCCCGGTGTATTTGATTTGCCAAGCCTTTGCTGTGCGATGATAAGTTCGGGTCATGGTCTTTCTGATTTCTGTACCATTCGAAATCACAGCAATATACGGCAACAAAGTGTACACGTCAAATGGAATGATGCTTGTACAATGTGCACTGCATGCGCTTGAGAGTCCGAGTTCTTATCAATAGCTTTGCAGACCCGGAGCCCTGATTGCATTTGCAGCACAGTATGGAGCCTTTGTTCGTGCTCATCATGAAAGACAATAAAGTGGTTCTTCAGGGTAACTGCTGAGAACATCGCAGTATCGCAAGAAGATAGCGAAACTGATGTTTGAATTTGTACCTTTGTGTTTGTACAACAATTCATGGCTACTAAGGTAGACTCCGTTTTCAGCTTGACGTAAAGACGAAGCATTGCTTTTTAAACTCTAGTACGCAAGATGGAATGTCGAATTGAAGGTGTCCGTTCGAAGCCCAATATAGAAGCAGGCTCTTCTCCAACTTCCACTACACGATCCGGGTTCAAGCCACCGTCAGCCCGCAGCCATGCGTTACACCTTGAAGCTCCTAAGCTGGGCGAACGCGGTGTGTTCGACGTTGAGAGCGCTGCTTCTGGGGCAGTCACTGTGTATCGCACCATGCGACTATGCGAGGCCATTGAGAGCCCAACCATGTGCGCTGATCAGCGAGGCTGCAGGGGGAGCCACTACGTCTGCGATTCCTTCGACGGTTCCAAGATCCGACGAGGATCCATTGCACGTCACTCGTGTCCGGGTCCTCTCCGAAGTGCTATAGCTGCAATGCTGCACCGGGGCTGCACCGGCGCACCCCGCGGTGCAATTCTCAGCGCACCCTAGCCGCGATCGAATCCTTTCAAAGTCTGAATGGGTTCTCAAAGGCTTGCCCTGCCGCACCTTTCCTCCCCACTTTACCGTCCCAGACAGGTTAGCTCACAGCCTTCAAGTTACCATAAAATCGAAAGAGCTTATTCTTTGGGGATACTGTAATCCGGTGATAGATCGATGTCAATATCAGACTGGCAGCGCGGCGGGCCGCGGTGCCGCGCGGCCCACAGAGGGCGGGCCGTGTCATCATCATGTGTCGGACAGCCGCGGCAGGCGGCGGCCTGAGCCGCGGGCCGGCCCGGCCAGTCTTCAATGACTCGACTGAGTCCCGGCGCGCTCGCGCGCAGGCTGCGCGGCCGCCCGAGCCGGCCAGGCCCGGGGCCGGGCCCAGGGCGGCCCGCTGCCAGTTGCGGCCGCGCAGTCGACCACCTGGCGTTGATCGGACTCCGACACTCAAGGACGGTAAATGGATGGAGTATGATCGATCGGACGGTCACTACTCAATTGCAAGCGGCCGCCCCGGCCGAGGCAGAGTGACTGCGTCGACAGGTCTGCACTTATCTACAGAAGTTGATTTTGTACGGCCAGCTCATTAGAGAAAAGCAACGCAAGGTAACCGGTTATGGTACCGCGTACCCTATCCTACCTATATGCTTTCTCCAGCTTTAGGAGTGCAACTTGTAGGTAGGTACCGATAGCTACAGTGTAAAATAGCAATAGCTAGGAGCATTTGGCCGTGCATTGGAGAATCCATCATTGCTTGCCACATGGTAGGCTGAGGGCTCGTATTGGTAGATATATACCGTACTGCACGCTTAAAATACGGTTGAGAAGCACTGGTCGGTGCCCAGACGTGCACACTGCAGGGCAGGCTCATGTTCTACTGTAGTCTCGGAAGTTGGTAGCCTGGTGGCAGCTCGTGAGTCGTGCAGTTGAAAGGGCATCCTAGCCTAGCTGCTAGCATGAGAAACAGTGGAGAACATCGACTATCGAGTCAGAAGCAGCGTACCGGTAACTACTATAAGTACCACCGTACAAGGCCAGGTCGGTACAGGCAATGATCGTGGCGAAAATAAATCTTGGAATACACTAAATAGGAGCTCCCAGACACTAATTGGCGAAAATGACACTAGTGGCGAAAATCCCAGCGGCAGTTGTGGCCGGTAGATTGTCCCGGCACCAAAAATCCGTGTACCGACCAAGTTTTTTCGTCGTCTCTGGAGAGCCAA